GTAGATGGATATCAGATGGTCACATGTGACGTCACCTCCTTATATCGCATCATTCCACACGATAAAGGAATAATGGCAGTAAAATATTTTTTAGAACAACCAAACTTTAAAGACAAACAGATAAACTTTATTTTAGAGGGGATTTTATTGATCTTAACCAATAATTACTTTGGTTTGACAACAACTTTTATCTTCAAATTCGCGGTACGGCAATGGGCACCAAATCTCTTCATGGCATTTTGGGAAGAATCCTTTGTCCTTCAGGGGAATCAGTGGGGGGGGCAAATTTGGTGTCCTATTGCCGGTTTATAGATGATATTTTTTTTTTTATATGGACTGATACTACGGAAGAACTTGAGAATTTTATCTCATATCTGAATGTCAACGATTTTGGGATAAACCTAACTAGTTGCAATAGTACTAAACAAATAGAGTTTTTAGATATACAAATTGATTCAAGAATCAAAAATGGTAACGAAAAATTATTTTAAACCCGTGGATCAAACAGTTATATTGAAAAAACTAGCTGTCATCACAATCCATGGCTAAATAATGCACCTCGAAGTCAATTTTTAAGAATTAGACGAAATTGTACACTAGATTCGGATTATCTACAACAATCTAATTACATCAAAAAACAGTTTATGGAAAAGGGGTATAGTGAAGGAAATTTAGAGAAGGAAATTAGACAATTGCCAAGAAAATCCCTTTTGAAATATAAAAAAAGAATTAAAATAAATCAAAAGGACGAAGTTCCCTTCATTTGTAATTATAATGTATGAAATAGACAGATATGGAAAATAATAAATAAACACTGGCATCTATTGAGAAAAGATCCAATTTTAAACCAAATGTTGCCCATATACCCCAAGATAGTATATAGGGGAGCAAGAAATTTTAAAAGCTTTTTAGTGAAAAATCATCTATCCTCCCAAAAATCGAACAATCATATTTTAGATTTAAAGGGGTTTTATGGTTGTGGATCGTGCCTTCCCTGCAAAATAACAAAGAGTAAAAAAAGACATTTACAAGACATAGAAGCGATTATTCAAAAGCCTTATATTATAAAGGACCAACTCACTTGTCATTCAAGAGGAATAATATATATGTTGAAATGCCCATGTGATCTCTTATACATTGGCAGAACAATTAGACCTCTAAAAGTGAGAATAGCAGAACATATTAGAAATATACGAAATGGCTTAGAGACCCATAATGTATCACTACACTTTAAACAGGTCCACAACCAAAACCCTGAAAAATTTGTTCTTTTGTGCAATAAAAGAAATAAAAAGAGATTGGAGAAGGGGAAACTATATTAAAATTTTAGGGAAAGAAGAAATGGGTTTTATTTTCCGATTCAAAACTCTGACACCATAAGGACTTAATGTAGATTTCGAAGTATGCCATTTTTAATTAATCAAGTTTTAATCTTTTTTTTTTCTTCATATTTTCATTTTATTTTATTGTATTAGCACATTTTTATTATATCATCATATTTTAATCAATTGGCCCTTTTATCATATATTTATCATTACCTTTTAAGAATTCCTTTTTTCTTCTTTTTTACAAATTTATGAATTAGTTTTAAGGCTGTATGTCCATTCACACTATTGTTTCTGAATTTGTATATGTAATATGGGAAGCCTTTACGAAAGGCATATTTTTGGACATCTCTGTTAATTTGGGGAGAAAAATAGAGGAGGACATATTTTTATATATTTATATATATATTTATTCTTATTTTTATATATGTCCCCAATGTATTTTAGGTAGGAGATCACTGCCATAAACCCCATTGCAGGCCACTTCATGTGATAAGTAATTGAAATAGGGAGGCCGTTTATGTGTACTAATTATATTGATTGTGTTTTGATTGAGCTGTTGGATATTTGACTTCGCATATGTCATGTGACGACCGCGATGTACGGAGCGCGTCACGTGACTTGCGTTCCACGGTTGAAACGCAAATGCCGAATACCGGAAGAGGAAGTAAAATCAGAGACAATGACGCCGTGGAACGCACCATGTGATACGTGCGTTCCACAAATGGAACGCAACAACTGGAAGAGGAAGTGAAAATGGATCCCGAACTACTAGGGATGCTGAAAAGAACCGCCAAAAGGAAGGATATTTAAACGGACTACTAGGAAACCACAATTAGCAACTGAGGAAGCCTCATTTTGAGGCGAAACGCGTTTTGCAAACAACCATAAGGACTACCTTCAGACTGTAAGGTTTTTTTATTTACTTTTAACAGTTTTATGGAACTTTTTGTGCACTTTACTGAATAAAGTACTTTATTGATTTACAACTTCTTGAGAAGAGATCCTGTTATTGGGATATCCCAGACCATAGAAAGAAAGGGAAAGAAGGGAGTGGGTCCCTTGAGTACCCACAGTGCTTCAACCTTTGAGCCTACCCAGTGGCTCTATGTTTGTGAGTGCTCCACTACCTATTTACCACAATTATATATTGGTATTGGCAATATTGCACTATTCTTTTTCCCTATTTGTGTTTTAATTTAGGGAATTGTTAAAGAATATTATCCTGTTGAAAATTACATTTGGAAGAACTCCTATTTATATACTCCACCTTATACTGTATGTATATCTTTGTGTCTTTGTGGGGATAAAGGGAATACCCACATAAGGTGTTTAGAGTATTATCGGCATTTTGGTTTCACTCATTGGGATATTGAAACACCACTAATAGGGAGATATCTGAATAAAATGAGATCAGCTTGCTGTGTGAGAAATGTTACAAATTAAATTGTTCTTAGTGGTCATAGCGATTTTTTTTTTCACAATGGCTGAATCAAATTCCAAGTTTTGGTCTCAATCAACGTCATTTACTAATGTGAGACTTCAAAGTGAATTTCAAATTTAAAGCCAGAGTAGCCAAACTGAAATCATGGCAGACTTCGAGAACATCTTCATTTTGACCTTAAATTTTTAATTCTCACTTTAGAAAATAATCCTGTAAATAGTTAGACATTTGATGATAGTGCTTCAGGAAAGCAACATGAATGGATTCTCAAACTTCACAAATTTACAACAAAGTATATGGAAATGTTAGTACAGTGTTTTATTTCACAAATCATTTCCAGTCTCTTGGTTTCACCCAGCACTGGGACACAAAAACAGCCATCCCTCATCTTACAAAACAAGGCGTTTCTGCCCATAATGTAAGAAAGGGCTTTGTTGCAATCAAAGTGAAAATCTGCAGTTTCAAAGTTGAAATAAATTATTAGAATATAAACCTCTTTGAAAAAAAGTTGCATGAAAATGACCTCTGTTGCATATATCGTTCAGGACATCAGAACGACTCGTACAAAATGTACCAAATCCATTCATTGATGCTTGCAAAACATTATTAAACAGACCCAATTGCGCAGCAAAGGGTCATTTTAAAATCCCTGTTTATCCCCTGCAAAATTGTGGCATTATAGTCAAAATATTCTATTTTCTACTAAAAATGGATAAAGCCCTTTTTTTTTCTTCTTAACAAGTGGATCCATTAAATGCTTGCATGACGTTAAACCTCATTTTTATCTTCTACTATAATTTAATTTTGGTCCTTTGATACCAATGCATCTCAACAAAATAAATATCTTAATGAAAATGGTCATTAATATTTACACATGGCAGACACAATCTACCATTAACATACTCTCTAGGTACCCCCACAATTTGGTCTTAAACTTGCATTAAGCATAAATATGTGTACATAGCTGTATTACCACACTTTTCTTCCATATTACATCATAAATTCCTCGGCTGTATGCCAAGATTTTTAAACGTCACTTTGTCAAAGAGTTCTCTTCTAGCTTTGAGAAGACATCAATCATAATATACATTAGATGTAACGCCACCAGAGAACTTTTAAAAAAACAGCACATAAGAGGTAGGGGACATAAAAAAATATGATTCTTCACATTAATATGGTAAATTATCTTCAAAACTATGTTTGAAGTCAATGGCACAAAAAAATATATATATAAAACAAATGCTCAATTCATAAATATATACGACCCATTTCCATCATGGGTTCAAATACCTACTCATTGAGACACCTTTTACTGATGTATGTGCATTAACAGATAGCAGACCTACCAAAAGTCATATTGTGGAGTGAGTCAGATGTCCATTAGATCATCACATTATGTGATTACAGCTATGAGTCTATGGAATTTAGTACCATAAGATAGTTTTTCAAAATGTTGGTCTTCAATAGTCAATTGTGGTGTAGCATATTCTTTTTAAATATAATCAGAAAAAGACTGTTTTAAGAGAGCAAGCAGTATGTGTAATATTTAGTGTAGCTTTGATGAGGGAAGATTAATCAAATTAATTCCTCCCTAGTGTTTTACCATCCTGGAGGGAAATAAAAAAAAAAAAATACGACTGTAAACACACATGAAAGCCAGGACCCCAACAAGCAAACTCTTATAAATGGGCAGATTATAATAAGAGATTGTCATGGGATGGAATTGATACTTAGATTAACACAGATTGCCACTTAATTCTTTCCGGACCAAATGTTCCCTATCAATTGTTTCGGTTAACAGGACATCCCTATACATTTGAACTGAAATACATTTACAAATGAAAGTTGATGCAGGGACGTAGGCTGTGCACAAGGTCAAGTTCAATTCCTGAGTTGCAAACATATGTAGATGTCTTTTTTTTTTTTTTTTATTGTTTCACATAGGTCCTTCAATCCATTTGTGCAGTTTGACCAGAAGGTCTAAGATATAAAAAAAAAATTGAGGCTGACCATCAAGTTGGCTCAGATTTCGTCAGCTCTTCTCTGGAAACTGTTTATAAGTTATGGAAAGAACGGCCGCTCCACTCAACCTTTTTGCTAGGGCCAGTTGGGCAGTCTCTTGAGTTAATGAAATGTTGCCCCAGCCCAGCCAGGATTGTAAGAAGCATTTATCCTCTCAGCAGGAAATTCCAAGTGGTCCACCCTGCAGCAACAGGTGGTGGGATAGACATTCAGTGAAGAACCTGATCTATATCATACTTCTCACAGAACTTGTTGGTAAACGGTATACAGGTAAGGAACTCAATCCATGCCCAATTAATAGGATGTACATAAAGCCAAATCACCAGGGAGGTAAAAAGCCCAATGAAAACCAGCAGCGAGATTATGATCATGGCTCGCTTGCGGAACTTGTCTGCTGTGCCGAATGTGATGTAAGGAAGGAAAGAAAATGAAAGGAGTAGGCCACTAATGAATCCAAAGATGTGGGCTATGTTGTCAATCCAGGGGAGTAGGCCAAACAGGAAAAGGAAAAGAACAATGCCCACAAGTTTGAAAAATGCCTTCCAAGGATTAGCCAAAATTTGCCAGCTCTGGAAGAGTTCCACAAAGAGGCATGCCAGGAGACCAAACTGTGAGCCTGCAGGTCCAACCTAAAGCAGGAGAGGGTAATATGATGGGTGTAAAACAATGGGATAAAATGGGGGTCTCTCAAAACTTTAATATCTGCCACAGATGAAAAAACGAACGACAAATAAATAAATAATAGCAACAAAGAAAGACAGAATAGTAGCTGCAATAAAAAAGAAAGAAAAATTCAGAGGGAAAATTTATCATTTTTTTTAAATAAAATCAAACTTAAAGAAGCAGATGAATTTAACATACAAAGAGTGCAGGCAAAAAAAGAGGTTTCAAATAATCAAAGAGAATTCATGCCACATGTTGAGAGGAGGAAATGGTTTGGAAATGAAGACAGACAAGGAAAAGACAAAAAGACAAAGTGTAGTTAGACAATCTTACGAATGACATATAGTTAACTAGTAATCTAGATTGATAGACAACTAAAAAACAAAACAAACAAACTCAACCTTTAATGACGCACTATTTTGTTCACGGTTGTATGACTAACTATGTAGGTGAAGGTTGATGCCATAGGTCATGTTACATTATTAATAACATATACAATAATTCAATAGGGGAAGAAAACAAAAGCTCGACAGAGAAGTACTGTTTACAATAGCATGAATGTTTGTTTGAAGCAACACATAACATGCAGTGACCCAGAGAAAATAGCAGACAGTTAAGCTAAGGAAATGGGTGACAGATTCTAGCCATCTGATCACCAGGATTAATTATAGACAAGAACACCAGACAGCTTATCTCAGGATTAGCTTATGAAAGTGAGAAAGTCTTAGACATGAGACTGAGAGACACGTGCAAGTGAGATAGAATGGAATCTCACAGGAGTGAAAGTGCACAAACTATCAGCTAGGAGGGTGATGAGGGCATGGATGAGATACCTAATAGAGGACAAAGAGCTCCAGATACAGACGGACAAGATAAAGGATCAGTGTTACAAAGGAGAAGGACTGAGTAACAGAATGGACAGAGAATGAATGGACAGAGATATGAATGGACAATGATAAATATAAAAGTAGCAATGAGCTGAATGAAGACAGCTCAGATACACACACAAAAAAAACCCAAAAACAAACAACAAAAAAACAGCACATCTTCTAGCACAGCAGTGTTGCGAAATATTTCAGATAGCAATTAGCACACCAACAGAGCAAAGCTAGAAAATATAATTTTAAACACACACACACACACACACACGTTTTTGGTATTTCACAATTTCTGTTTAACCCCACCAGAAACGCAGTGGTGTAAAAACCTAGTTATTCAGAGTCCTGACTGGTTATGAAAACAAATGGGTTAATTAAAGGGACGCTATGGGTACCCAGACCACTTCATCACATAGAAGTAGTCTTGGTGGGGTGTCCCTGTCCCCTTAACCCAGCAATGTAAAAAACTGCAGTTTTTTTTAAAAACAACAAAAACTGTAATGTTTACATTGAAGTGTTAAGACAACATTTAGTGACGGTCTTCTAGATAGCCACTATAGGAGCTTCCTGCTGTTTCACAGAGTTTAACTCTATGAAACAACCCTGGACGTCCTCATGCTTTGCAGAAGGACGTCAAGGATCTTCAAAATCCACATAGGAAAGCATTGATGCAATGTTTTCCTATGAGGAAGGCCTAATGCATGTCTGGAGAACTAAGTTCTCCCTCGCGATGACATTTGAGAAGGCAGAGATGTAGACAGCGCCAAGGGACCTCCGAGCTGGAGTAAGGCAGGGGAAAAAAGGTTTTAATCCATTCATTGCTGCAGGAGGGAGTTTATATGAGCTTGTGTTTACCATGACAGATACATTTATGTGTATTTTCTTTAAAATAGTGAAATCGTAATACACATTTCTACACTGAAGAAGTGCAATGGCCACTCACCTCAGCCCTGTAAGGCAGGAATAAGGCACTGGCTAGATTTCCTGTAATCCCACTCAACAGGAAGATGATGGAGATGCGTAGCCAACCTGCAAGTTTCTCGAGGTCACGCAGGACAGTCATTTGGAAAACTAATGACACCAAGCAGTGAATAATTCTGAAAATAAAATGGTGGGTCTTAATATTTGAATAAGGATTTGATACGACCGGTAGTTCTGCATTATACCTGAAAAAGTGAGAAGCCCAAACAGACACTTAAAGACCAGGTTTAATGAACATATAATGTCCTCTGAAAGTATAAAAATCAAATCATGTCAGATCACCGTGCCAAGGAGGTGCATTCCTTGTCTGCTTTAATTTGAGGACAAAAAAATAGTGTTTGAGCCAACGATCATTACTGCATTTAAGGCTTTCACTTTAAATGGAAGAAGCAATGTAAAGGAAAAGTTTTTTCCCCCAGCATATATTAAAAAACAAACAAAAAAAAAACAAAAAAGGACGACAGAATAAAAACCAAAAACAATACAAACACCGTACATTGAAGCTAGAAGGGCATTGTACAAAAACCTGGGATTTTGTAGAAATACAACTTCCATGATGCTTTGCGTGTTTTTTGGAATGACAATGCATCATTATTATTATTTATATAGTGCCAACAAATTCTGCAGAGCTGTAAAATGTGTTAACTAACATGAAATTGTAATCATCGAAGCTGTAGCTTTAAAAATATCTGTGGATCTAACTATTGGACACCCTTGACTTAAGCTATATGATCTAATTCAAGAGAGAATTGTCATATTTTATACTTTCAGCATGTTTAGATCATAATTTTTTTTTGAAAAGGAGGAGATTATTAAATGCGATTTTGCTTAGGTTTAACCAAAGTTGCCTTTTTGATCCGGTTCGTAATGGGCTATTTTGATTATTATGACGTCATTTTTATTTCTGTTGTTCTCTGGATGGATTTTATATAGGCTGGAACGTTCTAAAAAAGGCAGTAATACAAAATGTAAACATGATCCTAAATATCAGTGGTTATGGTTATAATCTATATTGTATCCCACATGGCCATTTTAACACCTGCTTAACCATATAATTTAACCAATATTATAAGTATATAATTTATGGAACACTACAATCCACCTCATTTAAGTTATGGGGGCAGGAGTGTCTCGGTGCAGACTTGCCTTCAGAGCTTGAACTACTTTGTACGGTTTAACGTCAAACGTTAGGTCTCCAGCAGCCGACACTTATTTTTATTGTTGCCAGCTGGCTTCTACGTGAGGAAGGTTTAGCTGGGCAGCCAGTGATAGGCTGGGAGCATAAGGTGAAAAGTGCGGTCAAGTAGTTCATGGACAAAGCCATGTGTATTTGAAGTTCTACCATTCAACATTAAGGAGAGTGAAATACACTGGGGGAAAGCCTGCCGATGGTGCACAAATTCTTTTTACTGTGAAATCTCTGAAAAGCTCAAAAATCTAAAACTCGTTTTTGAATAATCATAAATGTTGAGTTCAGGCAATAACTCAATACTAGTTGGATTCTTCTTGTATAACGAAACCTTGTAATATCTTGACTCTTACAAAAATTATTAACTGAACTTTTAATAAAATAGTATATGGATTTAAATTTTGGATGATTTATAGGTAGTGATGTCCCGAACGGTTCGCCGAACGGTTCGCCGCGGACGGCGAACATAAACATAAACTTTGACCCTGTACCTCACAGTCAACAGACACATTCCAGCCAATCAGCAGCAGACCCTCCCACCTCCTGGACAGCATCCATTTTACATTCATTGTGAAGCTGCATTCTTAGTGAGCTGTCCAGGAGGTGGGAGGGCCTGGGAGGGATGGTCTGCTGCTGATTGGCTGGAGTGTGTCTGCTGACTTTGAGGTACAGGGTCAAAATTTATGTTTGCCGAACCGTTTGGGACATCACTATTTATAGGGTGTGAATATGTGGTTGCTTACTAGTCAGTAGCAAAAATATACAGACTAGTTGAAAGGATAAGTTATATTAATAATGTCACAATGGCCAGATGAAGGGTCCATGCTAGACAAAAATATCTTACAGAACAATATGACCCAAATTTTACCAAAACATTAAAAAACAAACAAATAAAAATGACCAGGACCAGGACATACCCAGCATGAAGGAACAGTGACAGCCAGAGGCGATAAAATTGATCTGGGATTTCGGGATTTAAAAATGGCAGCAAACCACAGACCTCATCCAGACAGTGAACCTGCAGGCGAAAGAGGTATTTGTGATTATGATTTATATATTCACACACACACACACACACACACACACACACCTTGAGGCGAGACTTAGGTCTTCAGACACTCACCTGAGAACACAGTGTGGCTTCCTCATGGAAGTAACCATGCATAAAGCTACAGTATTCACGGGTTGTTATTTCACAGCTGAGAGAAAAAGTATTGATAGAAAATATTGTAAAACCAACTACATGCACATGCATAACACACAATGTTATGTCTTCTGTACGAATCTTGGGTAAGCTTAGAGCAGAAGATATGTATGTAATTTTCTGACCACCGGAAATATCCTCACCTTCCCTTTGTACCAATGCAGCACGGTCTCCCTTTTATTTTACAGTCCATGTGCTTCAACCCGGTGTGGTTATTGGTCTGCTGGAACGTACAGATCTAGCAACAAAAACAAATGAAAGATGGATCAGTTGAGGAACCCATCTTATCTGCCTAATGGCTGCAGAGACTCCCTCTTTGTAAAATAAAAATGTAAATCAATACATTAAAAAAAGTAAACAAACAGACGGCCATAAAGTTTAGGGATATCAATATGCATTCTTGTACCAACGCTTCACCCTTCCTTTCTGTACAATCAAAATTGTCTGAAAATATAATGTGGCTTCTGCGTATGCCTATACACTGTCACAAATAAGCACTTCTTTTTGGTGAAAAACAAAGAATTAAATAAAAAAAAACGTAAAACACTTACTGGCCACTTGGTAATGTCATCAGCCCAGACATGGGGTGCGATGGAAGCTGGTTCCTCACATGTCCTGTAGGAAAAGAGATGGTAAAAACACTGAATGTATCCCTGCGATTAACTAGAAAAGCACATGGGTTGAGGTCAATGAATCTACTTATTCTAATGAGTTTAAAGAATAGTTTACTTTTATGCAGTTCCTCGAGCAGGTACTTGCAGAGTGGATTCTCCAACTACAAGGCTGGACTGACAAGCAGCCAGTGATGGAAGTTCCTCAGAGTGCTGGCTGAGTCCGATCATGCAAGACCTCCAACATCATGTTCTGACTGCATGTAGCTCACTGACTGGCCACTCTATATGAAGAGTGGGTCTGGTCTCTTTCTTGACTGTACCAAAATATCAGTGGAGGAATATGGTACAGTCAAATAATTATCGACAACTACACCAAGAGGTAACAACAGGTTTTGTTGATTAAAAAAAAAAAAAAGTTACCCACTTGGACCTCATAAGGGCCAGCCCTGGCCAAGGACAATGTGAACAACCTTCAGAGAGAGCATGAGACACCATATATATAATCTTCTAAAAATGATGGCACATCTAAAGGGTATTTCAATCTAGATAATCAATAAAACACTAGTGTGGACCCTGGGTGGTCAGTAAGAAGTGCACCATCCCTTGTGGAAATACTAGGATCGTGATGTTTTGTTATCCTGTGGATGCGGATTATCAAAAAAGAAAGTTTGTGAATCAAGTAGAATATGATTTCGAATGATAAGCTTATTTAACCCCTTAAGGACCAAATTTCTGGAATAAAAGGGAATCATGACATGTCACACATGTCATGTGTCCTTAAGGGGTTAAGAGTCAAATGTCTAGATGTGGTTACATAAAACATGAAGTTGTCATGTATTTATGCCATTATTCATTCAATAGCACGTGCACAATACTGTATTATTCTAGATATACAGCATATTTAAATCTAACTTCAGGAACATATTCAAATGACAAAGTAAAAATAAAATTTTTTAATTAAAAATAATAAAAATCACAGGCCAAAAGTATACTCAGAAATGTATTTGAATACGTCATCTAGTTAGATATATGGGATATCCTGTGCTGCTTAGTTTACAGAGTAATTAATGATCATCAGGTGAGTGTCAATCAAAGCCTTGAATCGGCAGCTAAGCCATCACCACTCTGGGACAAAACAAGAGCACGTGGCAGGGATACAGACTTAAATTTAGGACAGACCACCAGGTGTTAAGTAGTCAGATTTACTAAATCACATCAATAATCCCAGCAATGCTTGGCATGTGGTTTTAGACTCTGAGCCCAATCTTTGTATAAATTCAGTTACAATGCTGCCTCTATTACTACCGTATCCCAAATAAGGTAAAGGGAGAATGCTAAAACCTTATATAGCATCACCTAATAAGTATTTTTCCCAATTTGTGGGATGTAGGAGAGAATGGCGGTGAAGTCCACCACCACTCTGGCTGAATTGATGTCCAACTATAACTTGTTTTGAGTCTAGGCGTATTATCTTCCTGTTCCCCAGAAAACCATTATTGCAGGAGAATTGAGAGCTGGCTGGCTTCAGATTTCCAAATGTCTAAAACACACACACAAAACCCCCCAAAAAAACATGCACCTTGGGTCTTGGTGACAGACTGCTCCGGACTGCCTCTTCTCATTGCTGTTCTGGTCCAGGAAGGGGGCATTGTTATCTGGCCACTTGATAAACGTTGCCAAAGTCTCCTGTAAAATGATAGATTTAAAAATATGTAGTGTTCATCAAATTATTATCAGACATTGACACAGAGCAAGGACATATGCTCCAGGTAAAATTACACTTGCACAGATAAATTATTGGACACAGGTTAGGCTGCAGAGTTGACTGAATAGTTTCTCACTGCACACAAAAATAGTATTTTATATTTAAAAGTGCAAAAAGCTATTTATTTTAAAATGGACGGCTGTGGACACATTCTCCTATCGACAATTCATATAATTGTATAAAAATCCCCACCATGTAAATAAAAATACAAAAAACAGACAACAACTAAAAATATTTTGACATTCAAAAGCATTTCAATTGTTACATTGTATTGCTCTTTCTGATCTGTGGCAATTGACCTCAATATACTTTTAATCATAAAGATTAGAGTGTATCGGGGGACGGGGCCTGACAGCCAAGATGGCCAGACATGTGTGTAACTAGCTCCTGCTAACCTGCATTAAAACGGCTGAAATACTTCGGCAACCCCATGGAGACACGAACCTAGGCAACCAGTGGATCACCCTCAACACATCCGACTACACCCTAAGCCTGAAATTGGGTGCCCTGTTGGAAGCACACGGTGCCTCAGCCTATGGCCTACCGCAGCCGACGGTCCAGTTGTTGGGGGAGACGGACGATCTCCCAGCTCCGGTCCCCTCTTGGTGCACCTACACATCGGCAGGGTCGACAAGACGACTCAGCGTCTCTACAACCACATGGTCTCCCAAGATGGCGGACGCACTACACCCTCAACGAGCACAAGCAAGGCTCAATAGCATGTCATAGAGAGAGTCTTTCGAGGCTAAATTTGAGAGGATGTGTCAAGCATTCTGGCTCCGTCTTTAAACCAGAGCACACCAACCAACCTCCCATACTACACTCGTGAGCCTAGCGACAACGGAGGCTAATCTACTTCCACCCAGATGCAAGGCCTACCCAGAGCTGAAACCAGCCTGACATCCCCAAGCCAAAAGGAGCCTTCAGCTTACCGGGGTCCAATCCCAGCGACACTCATGGGCATCTCTCCCCGCAGCATCGCCCAAGCCAGACACACAGCAAAACACAGCTGCGCCATGACCACATGGGCGAGACCCGGATGCAGCATGGCCAGTGAAGAGCCAAAGGCAGGAGTCCCCACATCAGCACAAACCTTGACGACCCGACCCGGCTGTGAGCCAGGTGCTTTCAGGGCCCCAGCTCATAATGGGCCATCCCAGCACCCACAGCTCACATCCTCAGATGGACTCTCCTCAGCGGCCACATCAGAAGCCTATCTCTCAGCCCCAACAAAGGACCGAGTCTGCTGATCAGGAGGAGACCTGGGACGCAAGTACCCTGGACTTCCATGGGACTCAGGGTGGCAGGCCTGCAGTTAGACACATGTTCCCTGGGGTTAACAGGCTGCCATCAATAGGCATTGGTTAAACAGCCCCAGGAAGAAGCAACAAACCCCTAATGCGAAGCTTCGCAGTATCTCTCTCAAATGCACAACACTGCATCTAGTCTTAGTGGAAATTGTGATTTCATCTTTATTTTGTGTTACAGTCTGGTTTTACTGTTTTTATTTCCGGGTATTATTAGGTCTCTCATCTAATCGCCAATCTGTTTATATGCCAGTCAAACCAAGTAAGCATGCTTCCTACTGCTTATTACCCGATAATACCATGCTTAACAATTACTAGGAATAATTGGTCCCTCTCAGTTAGCAAGACAGGATAGCCTTTATGTGCCTATCACAAAATCTTTATGACTGTGCTCCACCACTGGTGATTCATGCCCCTATTCCTCACTCAGTACGCCTTTAGACGCCAGGTACTCCCATAAGTGAAGCTTATCATATACAGGAGGGGAGTGCCAGCTTAACCACCATCTTAGAGCACCAGCCTAAATACCCAGAGGCTACCAAACTCAAGAGTTCACCATAGTTGAACATAGTTGCTCATAATTAAACATGTTATACAACTCTCTTCTTACTAGCTCGACAACATAAAAACAAAAAATGAGGCATTACTATATAGGAAATGTAAATCATTAATGCAAACGCTGTGACATTGTGTACCCCACTCGTACCATTTCCCTTTCTTTATTCTGTATCCCACCTCGCATGCCTTAATAAAAGAAAAAAAAAAAAAATAGATTAGAGTGCATCCAAGTCAAATAAATGGCAAGTCGCTTGTGACGAAGTGCCCTTCACCACTTGGTCCTGGAGAGGCTTGCTTGCCAGCCTCCTGTCCTGCGACTATGGCCTTGGTGTGTATGGCCCTTTAAAAACATTATTGGGGCTTATGGACTTTCATTGGACTGGTGCTGACCCTTTAAGTACATTTTTGGGACATGGTGAAAAATGGAACAATGCCCCTTTAAGTCTGTGTGCCCAGAAACCCCAGACTGTGGAAATAACTTTTACATGGCTTTCTCCCTTATGGTTCGGTAATTGGGGCTTACCGAGCCATTTACTGCACAGACGGAACACCCAGAAGTGGAGGCGTGCGACTAATTTACCTCCCAGGATGGTAGGTAAATTGCCGACCGCTGGGTGGCCGCTGTTCGTACAAACCATCTTTATTCAGCCGAACGCGGTCAGCGGTGTGTGCAGCCAAGTTCATGGAACTGAAATCTGCTACACATTTCAACGAACACCGCTGACCCTTACCTTCTTCTACTCTTAGACTCTGCAGCTGGAAACTAAGTCCCATTCGGCAGTTTGAATGTACTGCTATACTGAGCCAATTGCACGAAGGTTGCCCGGTTCGTGCATTCGAATGGGACTTTTTCTGTCTGAAATAGATCGACCGCACAGCCCAAATCTATGGAACTTTTTGGGCATGAAAATGTGCTTGCGGTCGGTCAAAAACAGACTTCCATCTAACTTTTTAACCACTTAACCGATTCAAGTGAATTTTGGATATTTTTATCCCCAAGTTATGCTGGTTGTAAAAATATAGTTTTATTTGTATTGCATGTAAAATCACAAAGTTATAAAAATTGTATAAAAATATGTTTTAGCTTGGAGATTATTGAATTAACTCAATTATCTCCCAAGCAGAGGGTAGGATTCTTACTGTAATAAGTGGGTGTGATTATCCATGTGCCTTTATTTGATTGGCTGCAAAGTGTACAGTTTCAGTGCCCCACAAGGTCCACGTGGGTGGTAACCTTGCTGGGAAATTTGTATATAAGCAGGAATAAACGCTCATTGGAGTCAGTTCTTCTTGACCCTCAACACGTAGTCTTGTCTCGTGATTGGAGGGGACAGCTATACTCACACTGGGGATGGTATACTCTGCATACTCCCCTGAGCTTTAATCACTTAGCTCTTTTAAGAGCTTGTTCCTGATACGCTCTCTTCCCCACACGGTCCTGGAGGACAGAAGCTGATCCAGGGTGGACAGAAGACGGAGAGACTCCAGTTAAGCTACGGCGATTGTGGAGTCTGCAGTGGTTGTGGTGTTCGGTGCAGTGCTTGTGGTCCTCGGCACAGGCTAGGAAGCGTCCATTAACGGAAGGTATGGGGAGTTCCGTTACAATCGCTTATGAGAGACAACAAAGTAGATTAATAACTGCTGACTTAACGAGGGAAGAAAAGACGTGTCTGAGAAACAGACTCTAGCAGGAAATGAACTAAGGAAACAGTGATTTTTAAGCTTTTCAGCAGCCACTTACCATTTGATTCTCAAAATTCTATTATTCACTCCTTTTATAAAAATAAAAAAATTGGGTTTTTTTTTTTTTATTGAAAAGAAAAAAAACTAAACAAAAACAAAGATGGCTAAAAGAATGAATGACAGCGATAGAATGGACAGAATGTGAAAGGAAGGGGCACCAATAGAGACAAGAAGAGTGAAACATCTGGCAAGGAATGTATCAACATACAGGGCTTAGAGGACCATTTGAGTGCGACGAGGTGGGTGAGGGATTTCCCCAGTAACCGTTCAGTTATTTCTACTGCCTGCTACTTAATTCACTTGGTTATTAGTTTTATTTTTTGTTGTTCGGTAAATAATTTGTTTTACCGAATGGAGACCACCCTGGGTACTAATCAGAACATGGAACACTGTGTAACCATACGAAAACCGCAGCCTAATTGAATGCTCTTAGGTGGCCGCCATTTCGTGCATACGAACGCACGTGTTGAGAACAATGGAAGGCGGCCATCTTGCCTCCCGAACGCAGCCAGCAGGACTTGGTCGCCGAGTGCATGTAACTGATTTGGGCATGGAAATCACACAAACTCGTCTATATAGAAGTCCCCTACGTACTACTTCCCAGTACAGTAAACGAACGGTGTTCGGGAGTTTGAATCAGATGAACAACAGGAGCATTCTGCACGAATCAGCTTTACTTCATCTATGGCGGTTTTCGTATGAATTCACGTGAACGGAGACCTGCTCTTGCTACCAATTCTATGGAACTCCTTTTCGGATTCAACCTCATGGCAGACCGGTCAATTTTCCACACAGTGCTGTTCAAAAACTACCAAACGGATTTGTCTGAATTTTTAGTATGTTGCTCCCATAAAGTTCAGCTACTGGATATTTTGTGGGGTTTTTATGCATTTATATGGTATTTCTGAAAAATGAGAAATTGTAAACTTTTTCTGGCCAGCAGATAATGGAGTTTAGTATGTTTCCAAAACTCAATTATCTCGCTGGCTCAGAGGAGGAGTTTGAAGCTGTATAAATTGAATGCCTTTTCTTGCCATTAAACCAGTCTTGTTCCAGCATTAAGCTTTGGCTCATGTGTGGATTGTTATGCGACACCAGCGATATTTTAACCTGTGGATTACTGGCAATATTTTAATGGAATAAGGGAATGACAGACGGTAACACTTATTCAGACTGTCACAAGGTGTATTAAAAATCAAACACTTTGTTCTACAGAACAGGCCTTTCACTTGGACCAAAGGCAACGTTGTGCAATCAAAGGAGACAGGTAACTGCAACTAATGGGATAAGAAATTGTGTAGTGAGCCCAAGAACAGAAAGATATGGGTAGAATCAGGGCATTTCCACAAACCACTGACGGCTTAATCAAATTTGAGACTATGAGCCGAGCTGGTACTTGAAGAGAACTCTGGCCATGAAGGGCAGAGCAAATCATAATGTTTTGTGGAAACCCATTTTTGCTGGGTCAATGTAAGCGCAGGGAGTTTTTCATGGTATAATAGCAAGGTGGTTCCCGTAAAAACTAAAGGGTAGTCAAGGAAGAGGTTACACAATAACAGGCTCCTGCATATACTGGTATTTTCAGTGTCTATGTTTAGCTGCTGTCTGGTTCATTCCAATTTCCAACTGCTTTGTTTCCTTGTCTTACAATTCTGCATTCTTACTTCAGTTCATATTTAAAACATTCCTACTAGTCATGTCAGATCCATGACTCCTCTAGAGGAGTTCCAGAGAATATGTGAACAGTATGCGATATTTAAAATTTCCAGAGAAACCCAGAGTGACTCTTTCTTCATGCAACAACCAATGAAAGAATTACACAGTGAGTACTTGCTGCCCTAAGTAAGGTTCCTTACTGGTCTTCTGATGAATATCTCCATATTAGCAGTATCTTTAAAACCTGAGTCATGTTTTTAGCCCATTTAGAATTAGAACACACACACATTTTTAATCAGTTTGTTCTCAGGGCAGGCTGGGAACTTTCGGTTCAGTCTCACAGACTGAACTGGGTACATCTTGCACAAAAACCAATAAACCAGACCTGCCCCACTCCACTAGCTCTCAGTAATATAGATTGCACAGAAAGCTCGCAGATGGATAATCCAGTAGGGATATATAGATATATATCTAATTTTACATGAATAATTATTTCAGAGACCTCCCTTTGGCTTCCTTCCCCTTAATCAGCTCAAAAAGAAAATAAATTAAAAAAAAGTGGCTTCAGTTTTCCGTTCGCCATTTAAACTGGAACAGAATGGGTGCCATCTAGTGGTAACTAAGTAGTACGACACACTGACAGCTTAGGATATCAAGGTGCGTCTTTTTTTATCAATACTCACTGAACAGTCTTTTTTAAGAGTTTGGACGCAACCAGAATCATCATTTTGAATGCAGCAGCCAGATATTCGCTCTCGATCACGCTCTTTCTCAATTAAACGCTCAACTTGGGCATCCCTCCGTATACAGGGGGAAAACTTGGCTCCCAAATGAATGAGAGCTATCTGCAGGAAAGATTTGAGGGTAAAAATTAGATGAGGACTAATTTTTTTGTTTGTCAATGCAGGAAACTCAAATGTCTGCAGAACAGGAAACTGATACAGTGGCAGTAAAAAACAGGTAGTGTAATACAAACAAACATTTTAGATAAATTAATGCAATGTGACCATGATTTGGTGGTTTGTGGCAAAGAATCATGTTCACAATAAAAAAGCAACTGGAGATTTATAGGAATAACAATGAAAGCTGTCCACTTACTGAACTTGGACCAATCCAGAAATTTTCCTGCTGAATATATTTCACACTTTCGTACACACCTTTGTTGCGTAGTACCTGTAGATAAAAGGTATAGGAAATATGACCGCAGAATGTCTTGGTTGTATGTGTTTAGGATATATGTACTTTGTATCCCATACAATTTACATTGTCTTGCCCATGGGCCACTGTCACAAAGCTGTATTAAGGGATGAATGACTTCACTTCCATACTAATCTTTTATAGCAAAATATTTTAAAGGCAGCTGGGACAGAAGAGCGTAAGGTAATGCATGATACAAAGAGGGAGTTCGTGAAAGAAGAGCATTGCAATTATCAAAATGTGGACAAAGCAGTGGGATTAGTTTACAGGCTGTAATGAACACATATGACGGACAAGAATGCCTGAGAGATCGCGTGGCCTTTTTGTTGATTATACAGAATATATAATTATGGGGGTAGCTTGGAACTTAATGTAAACACAGAAAACACAAAGGTAAAACATACCAGTTCAGTGGTGGTATGCTGAGCAAAGCCAATGGGTGCAATGCCGTATGTACCGATGGCGAGGAGGGTAATGAGGACATGTACGAAAGTGATCCAGTATGTAAAGTACGGTCTGCAATAAGTAGAGAAGTGAAATTCACTGTAAGCGGTACTTTTAAAACTGACTGATTCTCCTGCTTTTTTCCACATTTTCCAACCCTGTTTATAGCCAAGTATACATTCTACTTGTTAGTTCATCTGTTACACCAGATCCCACTCACTCTATGGTGCGATGCCTTTCTATGCTCCTAGAATTATGGTAAGATTATTAAATTTGCCATTTAATTTTGTCTGGCCTTCTCTGTGTCCCATCCTGTACAAGTGTGCCCCCTAAAAATTACCATTCCTCCCAAAGCATTTTGCCATTTTTTCACACCATTCATCCTGGTCTTTCTCCCTGCAACAAAATTTCTTCTCACCTGTGGCTGTCTATGTGTTCCAGCTGACTTTGCACAGTACTGCTGATGCTGCGTCTGTACGTTCGATTCAACCAGTTCCCCACGACACCAAGGCCATACAAACGCTTCTTACGGTCAAATGCAAAATGTTTCACCTGAGATGCAATGCGTTTGCCTCTGCGAGTGTTGCTGACGAAGGTCTGGCAGGGTCTCACTGGTTCCTTCCTAGTAAGATGGATAAAGTTAGAATTAAAAAAACCCTGATGATTCTTCTCAAATGGAGATTCTATTTGGTCAATATCAGTGTCCCGTAGACATTATTAGAGTCTATTACTTCATAACACAACACTTAACTACATGGGATGGTTCTACACAACAATGGAGATTGACAGATCAAACATGTTCTTTTGGGTACACATCACGTCCACATTCCAAGGGTCAGAACACAAAAATAATTATTATGATGAATAAATATATACAATTAATAATGGAGGAAATCTAAAAGTTTTATCCATTTTTAATTTAAATATTTTACTTTATCCCTTTAGCATAGAAATTCTACATACAAAGAGAACATCTCTGGAGGTAAGTCAATAATATCACTGTAGAAACAGTGGCAGTGGTTGTAAAATGTACCAAAATTATGAAAGATTTCAGGTAATCTAGATCAGGGGTAAGCAAACTGTAGATCCCTAGATGTTTGGGTTGGAGATCATCTGAAGATCTAAATTTTTGGTAATGCTGATCTCGATCAAAAGGAGGATGTAGATTGTAAAAGATACAAATTTCAAATGTTTATTAGTGTATAAGACATTGTGTCACTCACGCTGAAGATATAGGTCCATCAGTCTGGTATTCAGGAGTTGGCACATGAGCACGAAAATATGGAGCGGAGAGAGGGGGCGACTCGAAAACATCATCTGGCATAGAAAAAGTTTCATCGTGCATGTCGACCTGCGGTCATAGCAGAGGTTTTTGTTTAAAAAGTTCTTTGAGTAATACCACAAATATTGGGTGTTAAAAATACAATTAAAATAAGTCTTGCCTTGCTGAAGAATGATGAATCCAGAGTGTCTCCACCATCAACTGTGTCTTCATCCATAAAGCTGGGATAGGCAAAGCTTTTCTTCTGGCCTGCTCGTCGGCCATGCGGAGTGTCGAGAATAGGGCGACCCTGAACAGCAGAATGGAACGGGCATTGAATGTTAGGGTAAATGTTACACTTATTGCACTTGAACGATGTAGAAAAAGCATTAACAGGTATAGTCTGCGTTCGTGCTGGGAGAAGCAAGCGGTATGAGCGATATTTGCGGTGATGTAGAGACAAAACAGATCTGCGTTACAGTTATACCCACTACTGCAATAATGTACACAGAAATTGTACATGTTTGTAATTAAACTATTAAAAGATTTGTGTGAGTCGCATGGTTGGTTCAGTGATTTTATTGCAGGGCTAGGATATATTTCCATTCGTTTTCATATTTTCGTTTAGATATGTAACCAAGTTAAAAAAAGTAGAACAGAGATTTTTAATTTATCCGCTTGGTAAAAAAAAAAAAAAACATATGCTGTATTTTGGTGGATAGAAACACAGTGAGTTATCTGACAAGGCAGCAAATGCTGTCAAATACGGCACTTCATGACGACTTTATCAAAAAATTTTTTTAAAGAACTTGGACTGCCACTGGCTATGTATAATATTCATTTGAAATTACCACTAAACATTTTGAACTTTCCATTTGTGTGTTTTACAAAGCGTCCGTGTTCTCTCTGAGCATCACACAATCTCTTGTTATATGATCAACAATCGACAAGCAAAGTTACTGGTTGTATTACTAATCAACACGCACCTAAATCTATCATAACATCAAAAATAAATCCATCAATTTAAATTTATTGATAAAAATATATATATACAGTTGCAAGAAAAAATATGTGAACTCTTTGGAATGATATGGATTTCTGCACAAATTGGTCATAAAATGTGATGTGATCTGATTATCATCTAAGTCACAACAATAGACAATCACAGTCTGCTTAAACTAATAACACACAAAGAATGAAATGTTGCCATGTTTTTATTGAACACACCATGTAAACATTCACAGTGCAGGTGGAAAAAGTATGTGAACCCTTGGATTTAATAACTGGTTGAACCTCCTTTGGCAGCAATAACTTCAACCAAACGTTTCCTGTAGTTGCAGATCAGACGTGCACAACGGTCAGGAGTAATTCTTGACTATTCCTCTTTACAGAACTGTTTCAGTTCAGCAATATTCTTGGGATGTCTGGTGTGAATCGCTTTCTTGAGGTCATGCCACAGCATCTCAATCGGGTTGAGGTCAGGACTCTGACTGGGCCACTTTAGAAGGCGTATTTTCTTCTGTTTAAGCCATTCTGTTGTTGATTTACTTCTATGCTTTGGGTCATTGTCCTGTTGCAACACCCATCTTCTGTTGAGCTTCAGCTGGTAGACAGATGGCCTTAAGTTCTCCTGCAAAATGTCTTAATAAACTTGGGAATTCATTTTTCCTTCGATGATAGCAATCCGTCCGGGGCCTGACACAGCAAGGCAGCCGCAAACCATGATGCCCCCACCACCATACTTCACAGTTGGGATCAGGTTTTGATGTTGGTGTGCTGTGCCTTTTTTTCGCCACACATAGTGTTGTGTGTTTCTTCCAAACAACTCCATTTTGGTTTCATCTGTCCACAGAATATTTTGCCAGTACTGCTGTGGAAGATCCAGGTGCTCTTGTGCAAACTGTAAACGTGCAGCAATGTTTTGTTTGGACAGCAGTGGCTTCCTCTGTGGTATCCTCCCATGAAATCCATTCTTGTTTAGTGTTTTACGTATTGTAGATTCGCTAACAGGGATGTTAGCATTTGCCAGTGACTTTTGTAAGTCTTTAGCTGACACTCTAGGATTCTTCTTCACCTCATTGAGCAGTCTGCACTGTGCTCTTGCAGTCATCTTTACAGGACGGCCACTCCTAGGGAGAGTAGCAGCAGTGCTGAACTTTCTCCATTTATAGACAATTTGTCTTACCGTGGACTGATTAACAGCAAGGCTTTTGGAGATACTTTTACAACCCTTTCCAGCTTTATGCAAGTCAACATTTCTTAATCGTAGGTCTTCTGAGAGCTCTTTTGTGCGAGGCATCATTCACATCAGGCAATGCTTCTTTTGAAAAGCAAACCCAGAACTGGTGTGTGTTTTTCATAGGGCAGGGCAGCTGTAACCAACACCTCCAATCTCATCTCATTGATTGGACTCCAGTTGGCTGACATCTCACTCCAATTAGCTCTTGGAGATGTCATTAGTCTAGGGGTTCACATACTTTTCCACCTGCACTGTGAATGTTTACATGGTGTGTTCAATAAAAACATGGCAACATTTCATTCTTTGTGTGTTATTAGTTTAAGCAGACTGTGATTGTCTATTGTTGTGACTTAGATGATGATCAGATCACATTTTATGGCCAATTTGTGCAGAAATCCATATCATTCCAAAGGGTTCACATACTTTTTCTTGCAACTGTGTGTGTATATATATATATATATATATATATATATATATATATATCTCTATCTCTCTCAGGAAAACCCCATAAAATCCTGATTTACTTAAATTAACAGGGACTAAATCGAAACAAATTATTTATATATATATATATATATATATATATATATATATATATATATTGCACCTGTGGGTAAAGTAAAATCTCACTCAGATGCTCCATAGTAAGGGGTAACCCTTGAAGTAAAAATAGACAAAAAACACCTTATTAAACCACAGTGGCATGAGGGTCATCAAGGTTTAGGATCTATAAAAAGAGGGGATTAATATATTGGTTGTGCCAGTAACTGGCATAACCGATATATTAATCCCCCCTTTTATAGATCCTACACCTCATAGACCCTCAGGCCAATGTGATTTAATATGTTTTTTGTCTACCAAAAGTAAACATACCTGAGGTTGTCCTCAATTTTTTTCTTTAAAAAAAACTCCTAAAATTAAGCACCAGTGGTGTAAAAACCTAGTTATTCCGAGTCCTGACTGGTCATGAAAACAAAGGGGTTAATTAAAGGGACACTATGGATATCCAGGCCACTTAATCTCACGGAAGTGGTCTGGGTACAGTGCCCCGGTCCCCTTAACCCTGAAATGTCACTTGTTGCAGTTTCTGAGAAACTGCAATAATTATATTACAGGGTTAACTTCTAACGGAGGATGCCCAGTGTCTTGAAAAATCCCTTATGGAAAGCATTAAATCAATGCTTTCCTATGGGGAAGGTCTAATGCGTGATGGATGTGCATTAGCTTTGAGTCACCATGATGTTAGCCAAGGAGAAGCCCAATCCAGCACCCAGGGACATCGGAGCTAGCATCCCGTAAGAGAAAAATGGATATTAACGCATTATTTGCTGCCAGGAGGGGTACTAGAGCATTTGGAATATGGTTTTGTATTCCTAACACTACAGTGTAAACCAGGGGTAGGCAACCTACGGCACTATTGCCATGCACGACACTCGAGGTGACTTTGCACGGCACTCAAAGCTGCTAGAGACAAACAGGCTCTATCCTATCAGGAGTCCCAGTGAAACTTCAGATATCTGCTAATACGAAGAGGTGGTGAAGGACAATCCTCAATTTATGCATTGCAGCACATAGAGGAAGTGATCTCAGATCACTTCCTCCCAGTACTTGTGAATGGGAATCCACACTGTAGTAGAGCACTGTTGCAGCTCCTATACTTGAGCTATACCTGGCCAGCCTGGACCCCACTGGAACCTAGGGAAGCCACCCATACTGCTAGATATACACAGAAATAACCCTCCCCTCATACAAATAATACGAACAGCCCATACACAAACATACACACAATCCCCACAAACGCAACACCACTAACTATCCACATACATGCACAAAATCCCACATGCAGCCTCTCACGTGCAAAACCCCAAACAGCGACCACACACTACCAAACACACAAGGTGACATTTCCATCCACACACAATTCCACAAGCAACCCCCATACACAGCCCACATTCATATGTATCATACACGATACCATAAAGTACTAATGAACATATACAATATAATAGCTCCTATACGCACAAATTCAACAATACAAATCAATTTCAGTAAAATAACACAAGCAGAATACGGCAGCATACACACCTCAATTTAAAAAAAAATAGGATCGGCACGCTAAGGGACATCACAATCCTATATCGGCACAGTGCTGCTAAAAGGTTCCCTACCCCTGGTGTAAACTATAAATAACTGAAAAAAAAAAAAAAAAAAATTTCATGTAATTTTGCAGGTTTGGCCCACACTTGCAAATCATAGTTACGTAGTGTATATATAGGCCAGAAATGAAATCTTAATGTCTTTTCACACAACTCTTGATCCAATAGACAGAGAAAAAAAAAAAACAAAAAAAAAAAAACTCAAATTGTGAAGTGTTATATTATCTTTCTCAAATTCTACAAATGTCATTGTGTAATGAATTTTGTCAACTCTCTTTATGCATTTCCTCTTGTTGAATGGCAACAAAAGGGATTTTATTTATTTTATATTAAAAAAAAAAAAATTATTAAATAAAATGTTCAGATTCACAGGGGATACTAAACACAAATCATCTCAGTACATTTTATACATAACTCCCCCATTGGAGACTACATATAAATAACCATTCTAGCAAAACATTTTAAAAGTGGTGCGATTGCCATGGTAACCAGTGGACTGCACTTGTGGTATGCAACACTCATTATAATCGAATAATTTAGTGTGGATGTGGTGTCTGGACTTCACAACAGAAAAGCACCCATCACCTACTGTTAGCACGTTACAGTACAATTTAAAGACATTTCACAGGCAAACAAATATTTTATAGAATAAGAAGTGTGGTGGGCATGTTTTCTAAAGGATTAGAAAAAAAAAAAGTGTAAGTAAGCGATATATTTTGTACTTTCCTATTCGTTCAATTGAATTACAGTTTAATAGGTTTTATTTGATTACCCAATGTATTAGGCAAACATCATTCCAGTTGGAAAGTGATACAAAACAAACAATTTATTGGATTAAACACTTAGAAGCCATGTTATCAGCCAAGCATTCCGCACTTGAGATTGCAATCACACAAAATGTTGCCAAACATTAGAGCTCACTGTGTATACTTCTAAATAGTGAATAGAGTCAAATTCTTCAACGCACACTGGGTGCAGAGTATTTTGTAACACACACATCAAAGTGCAATAAAGAGGCTGGGCCATGTCTAGTTCTGTTTGATTACGCAAACTAAATGAACATCACATTCAGCCTACCGCACTAATGTCGTTTCTAGGGATCTAAATGAAATCATTTACACCTGCAAACATTAATGGGTTGGTGCCCTGGTTCCTCTTGCTAAAAAGAGGGAGGCCATGAACAAACAGCGGGTATATTGTAAACCACAAGCGGGTGATTATTTTATTACCTGCAGAATAAAAAAATAAAAATAAACTATTTGGTGCACACCTGGGTGTAGTGGCTACAAGCCGCACCCCTTTACTCAGAGAACTGAGCTATGCCCTGGAGGTACGGGGAGTTCCAGGTAATGGAGTGAAGACTTTCATCCTGTGCCTATGCTAGACATACATTACAGAGATGTAGAATTGATTTATAGGATAATAGATAATTTGTTGCTTTTAGTGCAACTTGATGAAAAGAAGGGTTTGCTTTTACAGCCTCATGAAATTAGTGTTTAACATGGGCTATTTGTGCAATTAGAAATAGCAGGAATGTCTGTTACAGTGCAGGAATAGCAGAGACATACAATGACAGGGCTGCATCTATTACATTGCAGGAATAGCACACACATACAATGACAGGGCTGCATCTATTACAGTGCAGGAATAGCACAGACATACAATGACAGGGCTGCATCTATTACAGTGCAGGAATAGCACAGACATACAATGACAGGGCTGCATCTATTACAGTGCAGGAATAGCACACACATACAATGACAGGGCTGCATCTATTACAGTGCCGGAAAAGCAGAGACAGACAATGACAGGGCTGCATCTATTACATTGCAAGAATAGCAGAGACAGACAATAACAGGGCTGCATGTATTATAGTGCAGTAATATCAGACACACAATGTGATAGAGCTGTACATGTTATAGTCCAGGGACAGCAGTGGAACGCAGTGATAGAGCTGTGTCTTTCACAGTGTAGGGATAGCGGAGGTATGCAGGGGCATGGACTGCATCTATTACAGTGCAGGAATAGCAGAGGCAGAAAATGACTGGGCCGCATCTATTACAGTGCAAGAATAGCAGAGACACAATGTGACAGAGCTGTATGTTACACAGAGGAGGAACAGCAGTGGAACGCAGTGATAGAGCCGTGTCTCTAGTGTGTGTATGCAGGGACAGGGTCGCATCGGTTACAATGCAGAAATAGCAGACACAATTTGAAAGGACTGCGTCTATTACAGTGCGAGAGTAGTAGAGGCACACAGTGAAATGGTTTAATCTTTTACAGTATTGGAATAGCAGATATATATCAATAGAGTGGAAGACAGGATTTACGGATACTAAATACTGTAGGAGATTCAAGGTTAGCCGAAAGGTAGTGCTCTAGCAGCTGTGAAACTACAACTTCAATATAACGGGAAGAGTATCCTGTGAGTTGTATCTATTGGCTACTCCAGAATTAGACCATTTCCGAATCACTGTTGTAGCTCTGCTCACCTTGATAATAGCAGCTGCAGCTCTGAAGCTCATGTGTGCCACGCTCTCTCTCTTCCGTCGTGGGAACCGGCTGTACCCGGAGCGTACACTTGTGAAGGAAGTAAGGGACATAACTCCAGGGGTGAGTGGGGCCAAGCCCACGTGAGGGGTCCGGGGCCGATCCACTTCATCTGGATGCCGGAACGCTCTACCGCGTGCCAGGGGATCCACGATCTGAGGGTCAAATAAGATATTAGTAGAAATCTGCCCATTCTGAAATCTGTATGTATTTATGGGGGGGTGGGGTGGTGTGGTGTGTATGTGTATGTGTAAAAAAAACAAAAAAAAACAACAACTTTAAACAGTGAAGATATTCCCTTTAAAACCCTGGAAAAAAGAACAGACAAATAAACAGAGCCATTTAAGATGTACATTAATGTTGTAATGGCCACGGACTAAACAAGTAATGTAAACTGAACAGGCTTTGAATCTATCAGTCTGAAAAACGTGTAATTATTTCCCTTTTGCAAATTTTTTTGCCATATAAAGACTAAGAACAATTCAGTACGTGCATCACACTGGAGACCCGGAAATCTAGAGAAGGTAGGACCATTTCTACCTGTGACACACATCTAAGGTGCCGGTGGGATACACCCCCATTCCGTGGCTGCCGCTTTGAACTTTACAAAAGAGATAAATGTAGATCAGGTTACAGACAACAGTAATAGCCTAGGGACATATCACCATGGTGTGTGCTTTTTCTTTGTTTTTCTTTCGTCTTTTAGAGAACAGTATCCATCTCTTAAAGCTTACAAGAGAGACTTGGATTCCTCTTTCATAGCTATGAATTGAGAGATTGAGACAGTCTCTCTAAAATTAGCCTGATGACCATTGCATAGGTCTTAACATGTACTTATTCTATAATAAATAGAACAGCGTAAGAAACTGAATCAGAAGATTGTATTACAGACATTATGGATAATGATATTAGTCTTCCGCTCCCATAACCCTGAGCAAACCACATCAAAGCTACTAAACGGGACAAGAAGAGTTATGACGAACGTCACGTAAACCTGTAGCTGGGTGGCAAGACATAATTTAAGACCATAAAATTGCTAGATTTTAGAATCTACTGGATCTCCACCTCACTCCCATATCAGGGACCTGCTTTGATAATCTACGTTTTCTAGTTACCATGAAAGGGTAGCTATCTGCAACAGTTCCAGGGTTTCTACAAAAAACGTATTAATCCAATAAATGCCATTTAAACGCTGCTCACTTTTAGGACTAGGTTCCTTCAATTGAGCAATTCCTTCTTGATTACTAGCAATGGACTGGAAGGATTAGATATAAGCAAGAGAGGCTGGTCAACGCACCTTGGGCATTCGGCAGGTAGCTGGGGACTCCGTTGCCTGGAAAGATGGCGTTTCCTGGCTAGGTAGCTCTATGTCTCTCTGATATTGAGGTTTTAGTTTCCCATAACGAAGGCTACAGTGGTGGAGGCTCTTGCGTTGCCATTGTTGTCTTTTCCCCTCCCAGTCATTGCTCACACCGAACCACTGGGCAGTTCCCCTGTAGGAATACAAGAAAATTTTAAATAAATTCCCATTACCGAGGTTTGCTCTGGGTGTACGGTGGAAGGATGAGAACGTTTATGGGGAATGAGAAAGAAAACAAATGTACAACTACTTTATAAGGAGAAAAAAAAAATTACGTCTGCAAAAGAGAAAAAAAGAGGGAGCTGATGTACTCTTCCATCTGCAAATTCATAGATCCAATTATATAAAATAGAAGTTTAATCATCAATGAACAAAAGCTTAGGGAGATACCAAGTTATTAAAATGAGCCATAAATGCCATGGCATTTCTTGTCATAAAGGGGACACTTAAGCAAACCATGATTTGCCTATTTACATTCTAATTTAAGAATTCTAATTTTTTAGAAGAAATTAAGTAGAATTTGAGGTTCTAATTTAAGTATTTGCATTCTAAAGACAGAGGAGTCAGCAAAACATTGGAATCCCAGTAATGAGTCATAATAGTATGTAGTTCAAATGTATTCCTCCCTTCTATCTAGGATTTAAAAATGGCACTCCCAAACATGTCTGCCGCCATTTTTTAATCCCCTCATCCCATTTATCCTCCCCTCTTTTTGGCTATTTGCCAACGTAACAGCTCTATCAGTTCATTTCCTACCCTCACTGTTCTGCAGGCCTTAAAAAAATTAAAAAAAAAAAAAAAAATCATGAAAACTAAAATAAATAAATAAAAATACAATGTGGCATCATACGTTTTGTTATGACTGGAATATTTTGTGCATTTTATGGATGACATTTTTCTCACTTTTTTATGCTTTGTGAAAGGGATGTTTGTCTTCTGAACGCTGGCCTTTCGCTTGTACCACTTCCATCCATGCCATGACTATGAGGCTCCTGTAGGCTGACACTCTTTTGGTACAGGGGTTTGGTCAGTGGCTGTGGGACCAAAGAGATATATATTGTGTGAGTTTAGCATAACACCCAAGATACAGAGTGAAGCCGAACTGATCTACTACTTTACCTGTGTGGGTTTTGCTTCCTTCTCACCCTCCGTGGGAGGTATGGTGATTGAGAGGTGGGGAGGCTTTCGACTTTGCAGACGAGAACTGCTTCCATTCTTGTTAATGGACGCCATGTCTGGGAGCTGGAGTCAACGGTCTAAAAATATAAGGGGAGAAAATACAGAGTTTAAGGGAGAGATGGCAAAAATGACCAGGATCAACAAGTTCGCGATGAAAGCAAGTTATTTAATCTGTGCCACCGGCATCTTATTTTGGCACGGCAAATGTTTGATCTACATGTCTCAGGGGTCTCAGCCAGCCACCAGGGTGGAAGAGAATAATTTAAAGTGTAGTACACAAGGCTCTGCTATACCAAGTGGAGACACCAATGAATGGGTAAAGCGCAAAAAGGTGAAGAAAGTATTTGGTAGAAGATGTATATGGGAGAAAGACCAGAAGAGAATTAATAAAAGTTAAGACAGAGGGGATAAGGGACAGATAAAGAGGTATAAGACATTCATTATTTATGGTTTTAACACACCTACATATTTAGCATAATATAATGAATATGTAGGTGCTTTAAAACAATGTTCTAGGTTACTCATACAAATACATTTGTGAAGTATCAGATAAGATATCTTGAGCTCCAACCATAAATAATATTTAGATAGCTAAGCTGGAAATAGTGTGAATAAATGAGGTGCAGCACTTGGAGCTTCCATTATACATTCAGAGTGCATTACATTGCAGTATTACAGGACATACGATAGAAGCCAGATCCAAGTGATCTTGTATATAGCGCTGAATCATCCTAAAAATAAAGGTCAGCCAGGATATGAATAAGCACTAGCAGTTACGTCATTCAAGCTCATGATCTATGTCTAAGATATAGGCACACAGTAATTTGTGTGACAAACAAAAAATAAACTTTACCCGAAAAACAAAAACAAAAAAAATCCCCAAAACGTCCCATGACTCCTTTGATTAGTAATCTGTTGCTTTACGAGGAGAGCTGGAAAATAGTTATATATTCTGAGGGAGATAAAAACAAAGAATTTATTTGTATTTATTTATTTTTTTACTTAAAAGCAGGAATGGCCAAACGCTAGATCCCTAAGTCCTATGGTGAAGTATGATGGTAGTTGCAGTTCTATGGGTCGGTCTTTTAATGAAAAGGTTAACTCGGACTTTCGAGGCATGCCATAAGAACAGGGTAGCCCTAGAGAAGCCTTGTAGGGGTTGGAGACCCAGGTGCTAACAGCGCTGAGAACACTGGTTGTAAATACTGTGCATCACTTTGCCACACAAAATGGACGACAGCCATGTATATAATGTTTTCATATCGGCATTATGCATTCTGATGGGCAGGGCTTTAAAGGAACACTACAATTTTAAAGAAAAAAACAAAAACACTTAAAACAAAATAAAAATAAACTTTTTTTTAATTGGAGAGTTCCTATTATGTTTAGATCACCACCCAGTCCATTAAAATAGCTCAAATTGCTTCTAAACTCCCCTTAATCCAGTGACAGGAGAGTCTCCTCACTTCAGCTCCAGTCCACTTCCTGCAGTCATGATACCGAATGACTTGTTTCCAATCAAATGTTTCTCAGAGAAACACTTCATGGAAATTTTCATGATTTGCCAACTAGGTTTCTTACAGAAGTGAATTTGATGCCTCTTTTTGAGAAGCACTCACTTTCACTTTGAACTTTCCAACTTCACAGACTGGAATCCCCGTCAAGTAGATAGCTGGGAGGCATTACCAAGTGAATATATAAAAGTATTGATTTTTCTTGAACTGGTCATTCTATAAAAACAAGGCAGATGGAGCATTCAATTAAAGAAACACTCCAGGCATCATAACCACTTTAATATAATGTTATGGTGCCAAGAGTGCCCAATCACCCATCCTCCCCCAATGTAAATAGTCAAACCTTTTGCCAACGGTTTGACAACTTACTTGGGGTTCCACTGGGCTCCAGGCACTACCTCCATGAGAGTTCAAAGCTTGCTGCAAACTCTCAGCTAAAGAGCTGGCCTAGCATGGCATCACTAAGCTTAGTACATATAACGGCACCACCCAGCAGACTCCACGACAATTGTAACTTGTTGACTACTTACATTTGGGGTGGGGGAAGGTGAGGGTATCAGGACAGAATCACTACAGAGCATAGGAGGCGTACAGTGCTTGGAATGTTCCTTTAAACACTATAATTTGTTTATGGTTTCAAATCACTTCGACAATCATAACATTTACTTTGAAATCCAAGCAGTCAAATTGAACCTACTTCCCAGAAGAAAAATTGTCAGATGTCCTGCAAGTAGCTCATTTCAAAATAAAGGTCAGAAATAAATCCTTAACAGTATAATTGCTATTGCTTGATAAGCATATAGTGGCCATTCCTCATATTGGGCAAATGAACAGTGGCCACTTTAAGATATCTTGTAAAATGCCTGCAATCAGCTTAAGGCCATAATAGCCTGTAATTCCTGGCCCAGTCCTTGGTGTTGTGGTCCTGAAGGCAAAAATTAGCACCTTCAAGCAATGGACTCCAATAAACATAAAAACATAAAAAAACCAAAAAAAAAAAAAAACCACATGGCAATAAACTACCCTTTAAAAATATAGAGACTAACACTGCAATAAAATTTAGCACTATGTGACTGAGGCTTCCGCCACTTCAGAAATTGGGAAATATGAGGCAAACATACAAAGTTAAGCACAAAGTGCAAAGGGGAGAATCCAGTATTCAGTATGCCCTGAAGGAACACATTACATTAAAAGAAAATAATTAAGTAATTTGATTCTTTACACACTTGGCTTCTGCTTCCAGTATTTGGTCTATATGCTTGTAACCGGTTGTATACCAGGTGTGGCAGTATATTCCTGGCCGTTGGAGAACTATAAGTTTCCAGACACGTTGGCCACACTTATAGCTGGGCACAGCTATGAACTAACCAGACGACAGACGTAAAATGAGCACAAAATAGACATTAAGCAGCAAGGTGTGCTCAGTGTGCAGCTAGCCACCATTAGACAATAATAAATAACTCTGCATGTGCAATGTTTCAAGCAGACTCCTAACACCATGACCACTTCAATCACAAATATTCATGGTGTTTAAAGTAACCCTTTAACAGACAATGAAAAATACATTTTTGCTACAGTCTCTTGAAGGACAGGTCTACCCACTGGAAGCTGGATCCTGGTCTTGGGTCCAGGGTGGGTGGAGGACAGCGAGACCCCAACCAAGCTGTAACGTTGGAAGTGAGACTACAGTCCTAATGGTGTCTGGTGCGGTGCTTGTGGTACTCGGTAAGCACTAGGAAGCAGAGATTGGCGGAGGCACCCAGTTGCGGTGCCAGGCAGTCCCGCCACGGTACAAAATAAAATAAATAAAAAATAAAAGACAGACGCACAAACACAGAATGCTGCATGTGATTTTGCATTTTAATAGATTGGTACATTTAACAGCGTGAAAATGTACTGGTAATACAGACAGAAAATCGTTCAGAACAGTCAATTATTTGTTTCATTTTTTTATTCCATTCTGAATTTGGATGAAGACAAAAATAGTTTGAGAGCTGTTCATCTTTTTAATGGTTTAGACCTTTCAGAGATATATGCCATTGGGTGGGCGAAGGAATGATTAAATGAATGTATTAACGCAGTAAAAACGCTGGAATTAAATAAGTCATACAGAGACTCTTTGTGTTAATGGGAAGCCATTAAGGGTTGTGCTAACACAGAAGCAATGATGTAATAAGAATTGAACTGAAGACAGAGAGAATCTATCTCCATAACCAATGATGGGTAATGGCCAAAGTGTCTCTACTGACCACATCTACTAGGACAAATGTCAGTGGTCCTTAATGATAGATGCTCAAGGACCTGCAAGTTTATTGTATTAAATTGGATACTTCAAAGTGATTAAAAGAAGGGGGGGGGGGAATAGACCAACCATCCAAGGTTAGAGTTGAAGGAGAATGGTACCTTACCTTCCTAGGAATTTTAACATTACATTTGATTATCCCCAATTTTAAAGCTGCTTTGACACCTTCTGGGGTCTTTGCATGTATTTAGAGGACCCCAGATGGTGACTTTGCAGTGAAGTTGCTGCAGGGTAAGTAGATTTTAACCTCAACCTGTCCCTTGTAGCCACCACCACTGTCTTCCTAGTGGTCCTCTTCAGTTACTGCCAGTAGCAGACATCAGTGCAGTACTCTCGCACACGCATGATAGTACAACACTGAAGTCTATAGAGGATCTAGGCTAGGGTCTAGTGATGGCTGAGCACACCGCGTGACAGATGTAGCTCCACCTTTTTGTCAACTTTAGAAAAAATACCTAAGACAAAGTAGACCCTATCTTTTGACTGGGTTGGAGTTACAGTGAAATTTCAGAGCTGCAAAAAAAAAAATTAAAAAAAAAAATTGTGAAGTCTGGAGAAAAAAAAAATGTAAAAGTAGAAAACGACACCTTGGGAACCGACTGTCTCAGTTCGAGACTTCCTACTAGTCATTACTATGACTGCACTTGGTAATTCGTATTGGGAGAGGAGGAATTGCAACAAAGTCTGTTTCTACTTTTCAAAAAACTGTTTGACATCTCAATATTGTCCAGTCCACCACAACAATGGCAATTACTAAACTTATAATTCATTTTTTCGAAAAAGAAAATAATGGAATTTCACACGGTGTATATTTAGGGTTTTATGTACTGGTTTAACTACAAAAGAGTGACACCTGGCCTTTAAATTACAGTTTGTTTAGTTTTGCCCACATTCACGTTTTTCTCCACTTCTACGCAGTGATGTCATGCATGGACTTGTCTGCAAGTAATCTCTCCCTCGTATCAGGGAAAACAAACCAGCATGGAACAAAAGATAACATACTTAAACTGAGCGCAAACTATAAATAAAAACAAACGTTTGTGTCTGTGTTTAATACTGCATGGATCCTCCAAGTCACTGACCTCCTATCTGCTAAATGTGAATTGGCACTGCATGTTGGAACACAAAGCCATTATAAACTGGTGTGTACAGACTGAGCACTTACAGGCAGCAAGAGAAGACAGACAGTGAAAGGAGTGGCAGAATCCTTATACCGTGCCAGCAGGAAGCAGAGTGTCCTTGGAAACGAGGAACAAACAGTGCAGCTACAAAATGCCTACCAAAATAGTCACGTTAAAAACAAGCAAAACATACTAAAATACAAAACTCTGTTTTCGAGTTATACATATTTGGGGGGAGTGTGTGTGTGTGTATTAGATGTACACAAAAAAAATTAAAAAGTCCTATTAAAATGTAGATTATCTACGGGTAGGTTTGCCATCTGCTGGTCAATGTTATTAATACAGGACCTAAAAATTTAAAAATTCATGGAATTGCAGCCTATGGGTGGGTGAAGACCATCTTTGGCTCTCTGATAACGTAGGCCAACATTTCCCATATGAACAGCTGCTGGCAGGAGAAGAACAATGGAAATTATGGTACAATGTAAGCTTCCTACAGCTGGACAGCTCTGCTAGCAGGGTTATAGAAGGAAGCAGCTGTTAACACGATGGCCCTCAACGTCCCATTTAAATTTGACAAGGGCACTTACGATACATTGTGACATAATTCACATGTGCCAAATCAGAAACACTGTTAAATGCCATCACTCGCCATGCATTAAATCTACAGTAAAAATAAGTGATGATCGGAATTTTGTTGCTCTCCATTTTTAGCTTTACACAAAATTACATTTTATAAAGAATTTTCCTGTCCATGTATACTCATATTTTCCATGTTAGGGTGTTCGTCCTTTGGATAGGTCTTTTGGTTTTCCCCTCCTGTTGTTATTACGCACATGCTGCTGAGCTGAGCGTCTATCTCTCGTTTACGAGGTGGTGCAAGGAAGCACTATAACCACTTCAGGATAGTTAAAGTTTATATTTTAAAGGGAAACAGTCATGCCCTATTTCACTTACTTACAAGTGCGCCATTCATTATTCATTTTAACATCAGTACAATAGCTTTTTATTTATTAACATTTTTGTGCTATTTTTCACAGACAGACTTATTATAGACAGACATTTTATAATAACGAATACCTATTTTTAGATTTTTTTTTCTTTCATTTTAATGTGTTGTTCTTTTACAATTCTGCATACTTATTTCCATTAATTTGTCAATTTTTTTTCTTGTTCTCTAATACATGCTGCATTTTACCATATATATTGTTTTATTTTTATACTATGTAGCCAAGCCTTCTCTTAATGAGCCATGTGGCTGTGATCGGCTCCGATGCCTTTTTGTGGAGCTACACGGTCATATTAAAACAGCCCGGCTCTCACAAATTGCAGTTAGTGTTTAATTTTTTGAGAGGTCCCTCTATCTCCCCCTTTTATATGCCTAGTCCTTAAAAGAGATTGTTTTTAAGATTCTTATTAAAAACAGCACTGCAGCTGTTCACAAGATGCGTGGTGCCATCTTGATTTTCCCCATTTCTTTAGATATATACATTTTAATTATATTATAAACCTTGTTTTTGAGTTTAAAAGCATGGTATTCCTCCCGTACCCAGCCTTTATTAATATTTTCATTTTTATATTACATTACTTACCTTTTGGACTCTATTTACTTGGTGGGGATATATACCATCTATGCTTCAAGGATTGAGCAATCCACAATTGCTCAGCTCAAATGCAACTTTATCTTCTTATCCTTCCAATAACCAAGACATACTACACTATCATTTCACGTTTTCTCTATGGTTTTTGCAATTTCATATACCACAAAGGACATTTAACCCCTTAAGGACCAATCTTTTGGAATAAAAGGGAATCATGACATGTCACACATGTCATGTGTCCTTAATGGGTTAAGGTGCTAAATCCACCCCCCACCCCCCTTTTCTAATGTATTTCTATCGCATAGAGAAGAGATACCGAATTGGGTTGTTGAGCGGCCTATCAGTACTATATTACTATAATGCAAGCATTTCATTTTCTCCCCTTTTTTGACTTCATCTAGCTATATTTAATGTTGAAAAACGGCCAACAGGTTCACTTTAAATTTAACCATGTATTCATTTGGGTTTATTGATTATTCAGACATTCCGTGCCTGTCTACCAATAAAGTAAGCCATTCTTACACCTCTCAGGCTGATTAGGCTTTCACAGTGCACAGAAAAATCAATAAAATACAGGACCGGAGTTTTAACAGAGAGTGTATGTAGAGTGTAAATAAATAGCAGTAACTTATACAGTTTGTGGACTGAAATTGAGAAATACTTTATTAATGAATAAATACAGAATAACGCTGATTGTTTTATAAAATGTAAAGTGAGAACAAGTGGATTTGAATGTAAGGTCAAAAATAGGCAAACTGGAAAAATTCTCTAACTGAGCCTTGGGTATGCGTTTCAATGGGAGGCCATTAATTGGATGGGTGATGTCAATCAGTAACTGGTTTTAGAAGACATTGCTGAAGGCTGATTAGAGCCCATGAAATGCAAAGATGCGGAGGCATTTTAAAAACATTTACATAAAGTGTTTTAATGGGTGTTAAATTAAGTCTACAGTTCTCCTTTAAATAGCGTTAGGATCAGATCATTATCTTTATGGGCAGGGACATCCTGTTTTAGACTATACTTACACAATGCTTCCTCTATCACATCTGGAACATCTTTCTATTCTCCCCCTCTATTGTACCTAGTAAGTTTTAAAGTAAGTACGTTCTATCTTTTTATGAATATGTAAGGGGTCCCTACTGCTTCAGTGATTTTTTTTATTATTATTATTTTATTTTTTTATATACTATAGATCAGGTGCTATGGCACTTTCAAATATTGTGCATTAGATCTTTGTGGGGGAACAAAATTCTGTGTAGACATTACTTGTTAAAAATCTAATACAATGCAAGACTTACAAATAAGGCATTTCCCAGAGCCAAACTAAATCAAAGTATTCAAAAGGAGCAAGCGGGGCTGGGAGACCCTGGACGCTTGGAAAAAATGCATGGTTATATTGCTCCTCTTTTTTTTGTTAAAAGATTATTCATCGACTATTAGAAGATTTAATTTTGCTACTCTCTGGAGGGAGAGAAGAGTAGGGAGTGGAGGAAGGTCTGGAAAGCCTGTGCCTGGCCTATGCAGCAGTGGGTCCCTAAAGAAGAGCCTAATCAGGCTGAGACTCATTCAAGGGTTGTCCTCTACACACTGCCCACATCTGTGGAAGGAAACCTTGAGGAGACAACAGAGATGCCAAATTCAACCCTGGCACTGTTGCAGAGAACTGGGGGGGGGGTGGACTGAGGTAGTATTAGTCGCTGGGTCCTTGGAGAAATGGTACTGGCTTCTTCCGGATGCAAAACATGATAAACATTAACCTCAATGACTTAGTGACAAAAAAAAATAAAAAATGTTACGGGACAATCTTATACTGAAGCTACAAAACAAAAACACAAAATACAAATAGTGTAGAAAGTACAAGATTGAAAAATAATTAACCATTAAGAACCGCTCAGTTTTAGATTTTTGGTCGGGCTCTATAGACTGTGTATAAAAGGTGAACCAACAATGGGCTGAGGAAGCGGTTAGTATCTGCTCCAAATATAATATATATATATATATATATACACACATATATATATACATACACATACATACACACAAAAAGTGTAACTTTCATGCTCTATAGAACTTCTGCTCTATGCCAAAGAATTGGCAAAAAGCAGAAAAGACCTCCTACAGGCAGTCCTTCTAATCTCAAAATACAGAAACCACCGCACATGAGAGTATAGGAACGGAGTAACGTCATGCTGGCAACAAAGCCAGTGAGTTGGTGTCACGGAAGACCTTTGTCCTACTTGGAAAGTTTCCCCAAGTAGGGCAAATCACAGAAAAGACCAGGCAGAGCTTGGACGGACAGGAGACCAGAAGCTCGGGACACGATGGCTCTGGGACAGACGCGGATATTTCTTGATATTTTACACTGAATACATTATGTATCTCTGTGATATACAATGTATTTAATGCATTTTGGGGTTTAACCAAACTTCCACATTTGGTGACAGGTTCACTTTAAAATACACACAGTTTTAAAAACATTAGTAGTTTCAGAGTATTATATATGGCCCTTTGTACATATAATTCTCTGACACTGCTAATGTCATGCAGCACTTACTGTTAATCAATGGGGTTAGTGTGGATCGCATTTTTGATGCACTTTTCGTACATAAGTATCACTTGTTTGTGTTGAACTTTATTTTATTTTTTAAACATTCTTGACGCAAAGTGTCAAACAGGATATGGTTTTGGATTGGATTTGCAGCTTTCAGTTATGTGCAAAGCTTGCATGTATGTCATTTGTTTATGGATACACAAAGGGAAGTGAGATTCACAGTTTTGAGAGTGTGATTATGACAAAGGAGAATTATTACTAGCTGAATGGCCAGAGACACTGTCAGAGCTTTGAGAAATTTGATACATTTGTACTAGACGTAGTCTGGAAAGTAGATGAGAAAAATAAAAAAATAAAAAGTTATACACCAATTTACTGCTTATAGTCATCAGAAGATTTATTCCAGAGACAGAAATGGAAGGCACCCTAACAGTAAATGTACCAAGCACACCTAACTCAAGTTTTCTCACTAAAGCACTGCCTCACCCCATAGAAGCAAAGGTTTAGGAATGTATAACTATATGGCAAATTCAAATGAATGATGGATTTCAATGGAAACAAGCTCGGAATAAGAATGGATTAACGCACGTCTATAGGAGTACAAACTGTACAGTGAAAACAGTCTCAACAGAAAGAAGGAAAGAATTAAATAATATAGATATCTATAAACAGCCACAAATATTTTGGTTTAATGGTGATAACGGTTACAAGAGGTCAAAATGTTGATCCATATGCTCTTGTTATCACTATTAAAACCATGTTCATTAAGTCCTGTGAGCAAATCCTATTTTGTAATTTATGTTAAACGCGGTCAGGACCCAGGCACGTATCTATTTGAGCTATTTCAGGAAGTGAGCCAAGTTTTCTTGAAAAAAAAAAAAGTGTAGAAAAATTATTTCCCCCCCCCTCCTACCCCTCAGTTCCTAAAAAACAAACAAAAAAAACCAAAAAACACAGAGCAATGCAATAGTCACACAAAGAGTTAATACAGTACAAAACAAAGAGGGGATTTAGGGACACATATTTCCCTGCAGACACTGAACGGAGCATACAGGTTGGGTCTCTGGGGAAACCCTATGACGAAAGAATTAATGCTGAGAAAGATAGGAGGAAGAAAAGGGAGAGAGATAACTGGTAATAGTACATGTATGCATGCTCACATCGGGGAGCTGTACGGCTTATCTGTTGGTCTTGGGGACTGTAGATGGGCGTTGTTGTCATCACTAAGCAGAAACCAGGTAGATGTTGCACTATCCTCACACTAACTCCAGGCTCCCAGTCTGATGTGGCCTAGAACATGCTTATACTTTAACAAAGCTTTCACAGGGGCGGTTGCAGGAATACAAGAGTGGGTATATGAGATAACGGAGTGTAAGAGAAAAAAAAAAAAGATAATTTTACTTGTGCTACTTTAAAGTCTGTTCAGGATAAACAGAGAACGAATACAAATAAATAGAGCTGAAAGTGGATCAATTATCATGGAAACCAAAGGAAAATGTTCCACCATTAGAACGTGTGACTATCAAGCATTTTCTCTTTAGTCACGCACAGGGTTTTTCACTAAAGTCCAAATTTTAGCAAAACAGAGGCCAAAATAGCAGATTTGGGGGGGAGGGGGGAAGAATAAAATATCCAACTCTGGTTTCGTCACATTATTTTGGCCTCAATTGTGCCATTAAGAGTTAAAGGGACACATCCAAGCAATAATGCATGTATGTGTTTTATGTGTAATAAGGGTGTCTGCTTTTTTCATTTTATAAAAAGTGCAGATTTTAATAGAAATTGGCAGTTTGATAAATTAAAGTCACACAGACAACCAGTCCGGTTAGCTAGTGGAGCTAAACTAAAGACGCAGCTATTGGCCAGGGCACCTCCCTAGCAAAGACTTTTCATTGAGCTGCATTGGAAAGTCTGTGATTGGACAAACACAGAAAGTCTGGGTGGGGTTAGAAGAGGAGGGTTTGCAAAGGCAGCAGACAGGAGATCTGCATGTTTTGCAAGCGCTTTGTAAATATAGACCCTATGAATAAATACATTATTAAATACATGCATGTTTTCATTGTGGATACATCTACCCCATCAACAAATGAAGTGTATGTAGCAGAGAGCAGATATTCCACAGGTTATCTCCACTCAAGATCCCAGTGAGGCTCAGGAACAAGTATTAAAAATCCATAAGGCAATAATTCCAGCAGGCAAGACAATCCAATAATATCCAGATATCAATCCCAATGACTGGACGACACACAACATCAGGAGCAGAACTGAACTTTTAATCACTCAACCTTCTTTTAAAGCTTTCACCCATGCAAGGCAGGGATTTACAGTTATTATACAATAAACCAATCATACATGAGTTGCCACCCACACATCCCCTCCTCTTAGTATGACTCAATCCCATTATGCAGTACACAGTTCTCCTGGTTTTCTGGATGTACCCCTAAACATAGGGGTACCCCTTTAAATATTACATCCCCTGGTAACCCTGATCTGGGTGAGAAACATGAAAAAATAAAAAAAAAAAAAAAAAAAAAAAAAAAATCACCCAGATCGGACCAGGGGATCACGAATTTCCTGGAGGTAAAAAAAAAAAAAAAAATAGAGACCGACCGCGCTGGAGTTAACAACCGAAAGGGATTCCATACATTTTGGCCCCACGGTCGGTCACAGAAAAAGGGAATAAAATACACGAACAACATGGGTTATGGAGACTGGGGAGGATTCGGATAAACCCCCTTGTTTGTGGGGTTCTTTCTACTGAACGGGGAGCTGTTCGGTAGTTCCTACACGAATTGACGGCAGTGTGGAGGTCTCAGCGGACACTCGACGGCAAAACACCGCTGTTCGGGAGTTTAAGATGGCCGCCGCCACGTGTTCGTCTCCCGAATGGCGGCCACCCACACTGCACTGATTGCCAATTACCCGTTTGCAACATTGTTGCGAACGGTAATTGGAGGCATACTTATTCCTGGGGTGGTCTGACTGTTCGGTAGTTTCACTCGCATAATAACTGGAGTGATTTTACCGAACAATCAGCCGAATGCTGCATACACTTTACATACATATGGCAAAAATTAACCGAACACATACGAATACGCATAATTCTGAGGAAATGCAGTCTTTCACTGAGTTGAGTGAGGCCTGAAGAACAGAGAATGGGATTGAACATTTATATGGAGGTATTTACAACTGGGGAGAAGAAAGGGGGTGGGGGGGAAGGCAAGGGGAGAGGGGTAGAGTATCCATGTGTTCTATACTATTGAAAAGTTTAGCAACCAAATTCTATCACCCAAAATATTAATAACTGTCTACTTTAAATATTGGTCAGAAACATTAAATGACTATTGCATGCACAGAATAATACAAACTGCAGGCAAACTACAGGTAAAATGGTTATAAATCTATAGTAATACAAGAGAATTTTAGCAATACAGGAATACAGGAGGTGGAGTATCTTCCAGCTTCAGTCAGTACTGATGAAGGTCATATGACAGAAATACTGCTCAGCTGTTTGTACTTGATGTAGAAATCAATTCTGCATGTGTTTTGAGATTAAACGGTGTTGCTGCAGTTTTTTTTTGCTATATCTGGATAACTGAGAACTGACTGTGGATCACCAACTTCATACTCTGGAAAGAATCACCTACAATTATATTTATCTTTAAAGCTGGGCTTCTATTTCAAAGACAGATTTTTTTTCCTGGAAATATATCATAAATTTTACAGCATAATCCACAAAGTTGACAGATCACTTTTGTTTAGAACCTAATCAGAAGCCAATTACCCCGTTAAAGGGACACTATATGAACACAGACCACTTTATTAAGAGGAGGAGGTCAGGAGAACCAGAAGCTCGAGTTTAGCAGCTTCTATTAGCTCTACTGGTCACCAATACTCCTATATGAGAAACATTGTGTTGGCAACCTCCAGAGAAGACCATGCCTCCTCCATGACATTGTGGAATGAGGAAATGTGAGCAGTGCTGAAGGGATAGAACTAGGAGGGAAATAAAACTAAGAGGAAAAAAAAAAAATATATATACTAAGGACAAATACAGTTTACGAAGAGAATGCAGAAGTGGCTGAATTAACTAACAAACTCACAGATCACAGGCTGACTCAACTTCTCGAGTATGTACCACTGCCCCATAGCCTAAAACCTCATACTCACACTAACAGCACCATTTTTAACAATTATTATTATTATTCTTTAAATGCCCACGGCAAACTACACAGAAATGTATAGAATTGTCCACAATTCTCGTTCTGTCAATAGGCAACTGCAGGCAAAGAAAATACGGTGTATCACAATTCTGTGTAAGAAATGAAACCTCTACAAGACAGGCTACAAAGCACTAGTAGGATTGTATTTACATTTGGAAGTCAATGAAAACTGAAATACTTTTTTTTTTCCCCTTGTAAAATAAAAACACACACACACACACACACACAGTGTAAAATATGCTGACACTATCTCCATCTTCAACAAAAGAAAAAAAAGGAATGTCACACGTATAAACAAGTTTAAAAATGCCATGCATCTGTACAACAACACTGCAAATAATTGGGTTACAGTCAGTTGAGAACAAAGTCCTTTCACCACGGATTACAATGGCTCACGTCACTACATCACAAGGACCAGAATTCTAAAGAACTCTTAAGCCCAGTGGAGCATCCCAAAATGTGTGTTCACTAGAAGTGTTGTAGGTCAACTCATAACTTTGAGTCAGAAGACGCTTGTCAACCACCATAGCCAGTACCATCTGAGAGACAGTGACTAGTGCAGGGGTGACCCAAAGAGACAAGTTGAAGGACAAAACACAAACTCTGCATACAGTGCCATACGACATTGCATTCCAACACCATAAATATTAATCAGAGCTCTCTTCTAGACTCCAAGAGAGGGTCAGTCATTGTAAAGAATAGACCTTTTATTGTGCTGAAATGAAAGATCAGTGGGGGGGAGGAAGGCGAGGGGAAGTAGTGATATCACACATTCACAACACAACAGACCACTGTTTTCTCTCCACTCCAAACCAACGTGAAACATACATGATGCTGTGCAAAAGCGAAAGACAATCTACATATTCAAAATGCATACGTGGCGGAAAAAAAAGTGTTATTTCCTAAAGAAAATAAATTTTATTAAAAATAAAAAAAAACATTAAAAACTAGAATGACATTTTATTGAGAATCAAGGTGGACACCTGTAGAAGCAACACCTGTTCCTCTTAGAGAGAGACTAATTTATTATTGATTTCCATTTGCTAAAGTTTACATATAACACAAATGCAAGCATGCTGGAACTAGCGCAAACTAAAAGAGTAAGAATTATTTTGTAGGTGGACATGTAAAACCATGTAACCATATAGATACATAACTAGCCTGTTAGAGGGTATGTTCCAACGACACCTTACACGCAGCTACACACGAAAATAATTATATGGTGTCCAAGCAGATCATTTCTACTTACACATTTAAATGGACATTGTATTTGTAGTAAGCAGTGCGTGGTAATGTAGCGCTGTATACACAGCTCAATTCACACATAGATAGAACAACCAAGTGAAAATATTTCTATTACGAGCATTACATATACACAAAATGTTCTATGCACAAGCAGAGGCATTTCTGCTCCATTTGGAGCCCACGATCGATAGAAGTCAGGTAAGTAGAAATCAAGGATTCAAAGAAAGTTACTATCTGGACTAAAAGTGTTACTACCCTGAAAAAATAACAGAATCTTGAAACCGGTATTCTTTATTTGATTTGTACTTGCTAGTACTACGACCGTGTTTACAAAACCAATATGTAAAAATGTGGTACCTGATCTCTACATGCAATCCTCAAGGAAACAGTGGAATAGCATAGCAACATAGCCATCACAGAGCGCTGTAGGGGATTAGGCACCAGGGATGCCCTGGCATTTGTCCCTCCCCCTAACCCCCCAATTGTAAATAGTCAAACAATTTTTAAATGGTTTAACTTCTTACCTGGCATTTGCCATTTCAGGCCTCCATTAGCTCATTGGCTAAGTGCCTCTGCTAGCTGCACCACAGCCTTTGATCAGAATTTTGGTGCTAAAAAAACGTTCATTTAAAATGTATTTTTATTCCATTTATCATCTGTGTGTATACAGCATAAATACTCACATAGGGTATATGTATGAAATAAATTATATACTCTTTTCAGTGCAAGCTCTGACATATGGTGGCTCTAGTGTAAGGAAAAGGTAAACTATGTATGTGTGAGGTGGTTCTGTCCTGTTTTTGTAATTCTCTGTAAAAGATTAAGGTAGATTCTGTCAGATATTTTACAAGCTTCTTCTTGACCCCAGGGTTAACTGACACATTACTTATAATATGCTTTCTTCCAAATTAGTTTTGGCTGCTAGGAGGGCTCTGGCTGAGCATTGGCTACAGAGCCCCTTGCCTGTCTCACATGATGTTTTAATAACGATCTCAGACATTCGCATAGGTGCCAACATTCCCATATTTACCATGACAGTCTCGTACTTTGGGATACTCCCTGCCCACCTGCATTCTTGGAAATGTTGGCAAGTGTATTATAATATATATATATATATATATATATATATATATATATATATATATATATATATATATAATCTGACTAAGCATCATGGGAAGTGTAGTTGTAAAAAACCCGCCAAGGAGAGGCAATACTGTTCAGGGCTATCATGGCCACTTACTAATAAAGAACAAATAATATAGAAGGCATATCAGAGCCAGGACCAGGACTCATACCTACCAACATTCTAAATGGACATAATGTGTCTTATTTACACAGACATGTTTTTAAACTACAATAAATGTGTTCAGAAATAAATTAATGGGGGTATTTTTGCTGTGGAACTCTGTTATACAGTCAGACACAGCAACAATATGAAGCATACAGAAAAAGAGTGACACCAGGATAGAAAAGAGGGAGCCTTGAGAAATCTGCAAGGAACAGCTGCCCTTTTATAAGTTATGATTTTATTTATTAATTTTTAGTGAACGCTATTTTTTCCCCCACAACAAAAATGTAGGTTATGGATTTGAAGACAAGAAAAATACAGCCTAAAGCTTTTGTATTAGATACAATTTATCATAACTGCTCAGTATTTTATAAAATTGGTAACTTTGTAATATTCTACTTGGCAAAAATAAAATAAATCTTAAACATAGCATCCGTGTAACAATTCCTCAAGTACGGTTTTTGATCTCGGTGTTAATACTTTTATGATCACTCTTCAATCTGATCCGATTTTGAACAATGGTTCTTGCGGAGAGATCGAGAGCTGCCAAGAAGGATCGTCTCACCAATGAAATGGTTATCGATTGCCATAGCCCATGGTTCTGGGTTCCACAAAGTCATTACGAACAACAAACAAAATAAATTGAGTCATACAGTCTCTTTGCATGTTATAAATGACGCACATCAACATTTTAATGCCATCCGAGTTCTTTCTCAAGCTTCATGTAATTCAATATTTGTGGTTCCGGTCATTTCATTGCCGTCTGCAAGAGTTGGGGGATTTTACATTTACATTGGTTTTTTTTTACTACTTTAGCTTATCTCTATCAGTTTCCATGAGTTGGAAAGTCATTGTGGAAAAAACCCTAATCATGAAATAGATATTTAAATCAAAAACGAAATAGAATCTACATAGAGGCACATTCTTATCTCCCACATTCCAAACTCAAGGTCTAACAAGTGTGAACTACAAGCAACTGCATCCATATCACTACAAAAACCAATGATGTCTACTGTTCCAAGTATCTCTTAGATAAAAGAACCATTCCAAGTGGAACAAACCCACCACCCTCCTTAATGGAATACTGTCCCCACCCACTATAGATAACAGATGGAGCGGGGGAGGGCAGAAAGGAGCCCGTGTCCCTGGCACTAGCGTTTCTGAAAGGCAAAGTGCCACATGGCTTATGAAGATCACCCACCACAGACATCTAGTGAGATGAACTCAACTGTCCCGACTGTTTTTACGTGCTTTAGGTCTGCAAGATGTGATGAGTGTTTCCTCGCCAAGATTTCGACGGCTGGTGTGGGTGATGAAACTTTTCGATGGGTTAATAACATCTAGCGAGACACGTATGCTCTAGAAGCAACAAGACAGACCTGAAGCGGTCGCTTACTACTTTATTCTTAGCAATGTTCTGCCAGGGAAAAGGTTTTGTAATGAGAAATTCGCATGGTGGAAAAGCAACAGGTGTCACTGTGCAACGGTGCCAAGCATTTTACATGGATAACTGACTGCGCCGAATAAATTTAATTCTGAACATCTACATGCAGCATATGACGTGCAGCTAGCCTACATTAAATGATATAAATCTGCAGCAGATAAAGAAATGGTTATGGTATACATTAGTATTCTAATTTTATTGCGCACATACACGTATTTTAAGTGCCTGACTAATCACAGGATTACATATACAGAGTATCAACATAATGATACACTTTATCTGAAGCAGATAATGATTCACTAATATTGTAGACATTCAGATAACTGAAAAGGGAAAACAAAACAAAAACGTGACTTAAAATAAAAAAAAAATTTAAAAACCCACAAGCATTTTGGCTGAGATAATGAACTTCCATTTAATCTTTTAAAGGAACAATGACATCCCATTTTATTCTGTTTATTAACAACCCATGTCTATCAGGGAATGCCGGCTTATTTAGCATTCATAGCTTTTTAAAGTCCTGTTAAAACTAAATGACTGGGTTGTACCAAGCCAGAATATCTTTCTTTAAGGACCGAAAGACAGTTGATATCAGAGACAGCCTCAGGAACCAAAGAATTTTAATTAACTTACTCACAAATCACACAGAAGGTCCAAATTTGTAAGGACCTAAAGCAAATAATGAATATTCTACAGTTAAGACAAAGTTTTTTTACACTAAATTAAACTGATTTCACTATTAGGATTGCATTTCGCCAGTAAGTGGATGACAATTTGCTCTGAGCAATGCTTGGGACCTTTAGCGGGGCACAGAACAAATGCAGCCTTATAACAATCGTAAATACTTCCAACTTTCCATATGCAAAAACACAGTAACGGTTAACTGTGAATATGGAAAATAGTAGCAGGATCAAATGACCCCAGCTGTGAAGGGCTCCCTCCACCCCTCTTTCAGCCAACTCATGGCAGCAAAATAAATGAAAAAAAAAAAAAAATACCAATTAAGATACTGCGCAAAACTAGGACAGTTGTTTACAGCTGTATAAAGGCCTAGCGTAGGGTACAGAGATGGGAAAAATGTAATCACTTGGCATATACCATATTCTCTCATTAGCATCACACTATGCTAATTACGCTGTAATTTCCATAAAGACACTTTGTTTTTAGTCTTCCAAATCATTCTGAGCAACACCAAGACTTATTTGTGGAAAGGCTTGAACCTGTCCAAAGTCACGTAACTACAAAAATATGCCCAGCTGCCCCAATCCCTGGTACAATTATAAACAAATTCTGAATAACCTAGGGCACTTCAAATTCAACAATGACTTTCTTTATGTACCCTTATGGCAAAAGGGTACTTTTAGGATTCTGTTATAATAGGGGGATATTTACAAAAAAATGCCCATTGGCGGTCTTCGGGGGTGGTTTGACAACTACTGGCTTGTCGGATATGTGCATTTGGATCGTTATTATTTACGATAAAAATGTCAGAGCAACTTAAGTGTTTTCTAATACTCAGAGAGCAGAAAGATAGACGATAATGTCTTCACCCGCACATCGTAGGTTTAGAACTCAAAGGACCGAAGACAGAATCATTTGATATAAAGCAGATTACCAAATGATAAATGCCCTGTAGTTGTAAAACCTCTACTCCCATTATACTTGCCAGCCTGGCTATGCACCATTGTACTACCGATTAAACATTTGCCCACCCCTGGTTTAAAGGAAAATGATTCTGAATAATTTTCCTTGTTGCCTTAGTATCACCCCAAGCATGCCGCAGTGCCACAAATCTATAGAATTATAAATAAGTACACCTCAAGTGCCACAGTTCCACTGAATGCAGATACTTTGAGGAACTTGTACAACTTTTACTATACAGAAAGACTTGATCTCTTGTGCAATATTGAAAAATCCCTTCCACTAGATGCAAGGAAATCCTGAATAAGAACTGAATTTCATCAGTGACTAAGTGAGCCTTTTTCCAAAGACAAGTTCTACAGAATACCAGTTGAAAGTGTTAGGTTCAAAGACATAATATATTTACACAGACACACACACACACACACACACACACACACACACACTAGAGCCTGCTAGACATCTATGAACATGACCCTCACCACAGAATGTGACCCCCAGTCCTCCTCCTCCTCCTCGATTTGGTCCTGTAAAGATGCACCCAGAGCGTGCTTGTATTGGTAAGGTTTGGGCGAGAGAAGGAGGGGCTCCCACAATCTGTTAGGACACTTCCTGGCTCTGATAAAAACTTCCCACTTAACACTTTGCTGTCACAGCAGCGTGTGGCAAATGAACACTGCAGACACTGGCTCAACGCGACTAGCAAGTAGCTCCCGGCAGCAGAAGGGTTAACATCATGAGAAATGCTAGGTGACAGATTTAATAAAAGATAAACAGATGGGTTCCCGTGGAAACAGGGCAAAAGGGACATTGAGATTCAAAGATAATGAGCAAAGTCAGAAAAGAACATGCGGCAGCATACAGCTATGTGGAGTATTCACAAAATAATCTACAGTTACAAAGTGTCATACCTCCGATCTCTAACATGCCACTGATTGGAGGTTAGTAGCTAGTATAGAATGGCACTGCCATAAAAGGTGACAAAATAGAATATAATTAACAACCTGCTCGAATGCATACGATTAAAAGCATCTCTCTTCTCAAAATGCACCGGTCTCTGAATATCAGCATCTCAGCCTTTGGCTACAATGATGGTAGGATGTGTTTATTTATAGACATTTAGAGCACCGGTCATGGGAGTATTTCATAAATGGGAAGCTTACATTAATATTAAAGATAATCAAATACTCTATAGATCAGTAACGCTCAAGCTGCAACTCTCACATTGTTATGAACCTTTGAGTCCCGTGATCCCAATGCAATCACATAAACACTCCAGTTCTCAGGATGAAAATTCATGGAGCTTGAAACTTTAATGAATATGGAGAGATACTTGCTCATAACACTAGTAATGCAGGTTATTTAATTAATCAATCTCCTTTATGTATATAAGAAATAAACTTGCATTGCTTTCTAATAAACTATTATGTGCTAATACTGTTTAAGCTAAGGGAAAAAAAAAAGCTTCATTTCTGTCTATCTCTGCATTGAAAGTGCGTTAAAGGTACACTATAGTCACCAGAACTACAGCTTAATGTAGTTATTCTGGTAATTATAGTATGTTCCTGCAGGCATTTTCATGTAATCACTGACTTTTCAAAGAAAACACCTCAGACAGTCATTAGAGGTGCTTCCTGGTCCAGTGCTGCACAATGTTCAGCACTGATGTTCAGCATCTCCACGCTCTGCATTTCCATGAGGTGATGCTTCCAACAGTGGAAGTTTAAAATTGCATAAATAATGTGTACATTTAGTACTAAACAATTCATTTTGTTTCACAAAATATACTTTATTTAAAAACTGAGTTGCAGTGTAAAGAAATCAGAAAGATTAGTGGCAAAATTGACAAACCATTATTCAAGTGGAGCTATTTTGGCCAATATATTGAAAATGTAATTTTCAATTCATTATAACCCACTGTTTAGCCAATAATCCCCTAAGTATTTAAAGGCAAAAAACGGGTCACAAGAGTATTCTGAGAACGGGCAGCAGCTGAAATTATGCGGCTCTTCTGTGGGTCCCCGCTCAGAACTCAATCTGGTTTTAGCTCATCTTGTGCCATTACAGAGAGAACATATTTGAAGCATATCAGACTAGTCCCACCCATACGGGCAGTCCAGATCCGAAATGCCAGCAAGTTCTCTCTGCACGAGAGATACAGCAACTCCAGACGATCGTTTCAGCCTTGTTAGGCATCATCAGTGAGGCATAGCAAGAGTATTCTGAGCACAAGATGAGCTAAAACCAGCTTGAGTTCTGAGCGGAGACCCACCGAAGGACAGACTATTTCAGCTGCTGTCCATTCTCAGAATACTCTTGCGACCAGTTTTTTGCTCTCCATAAGCTTAAAGGGTAATCCAGATGTGGACCCTTTGCTCACAGTGCCTAGAGAGATATCAGCTATGCCTCACTGATGATGCCTAACAAGGCTGAAACGATCGTCTGTGGTTGCAGTATCTCTCGTGCAAAGAGAACTTGCTGGCATTTCGGATCTGTACTGCCCTTATGGGTGTGACCAGTCTGATATGTTCTCTCTGTAATGGCACAAGATGAGCTAAAACCAGCTTGAGCTCTGAGCGGGGACCCACCGAAGGGCAGGTCATTTCAGGTGCTGTCCGTTCTCAGAATACTCTTGCGACCCGTTTTTTTGCTCTCCATAAGTATTTAAAGGCATACTCCAGCTTGCTGAAGTGCGTCCTTTTTCCCCCCCCATTTTTCTAAAAGTACACAATTTGGCACTTTTATAAATTAACCTTGTTACACGCCTCTGGCAATCAAAGATCAAGTTACTTACCAATTTGTTTAGCTCAGTGGAGCTAACCTCAAGAAGCAGGCGCTTCTGCCCACTTTTTTTTTCCCCTTCGAGAAACTGCAATGTTTACATTAACTGGCAAAATAGGCACTTTTTCCTCCATTGCATAATTTGTTCTGGTGATCAAATGTAGTAGCATATGATTGGGAGATCACAGCATTTGGCCGCAATGCACAACTCCAATCTATTGCTTCTCCATGACAACCAATGAATTGGAGATCAGAGATGGCATGCGATGTCTTCAAAGGCAGAGTGGGCGTTTGCAGCAGAAGAGTTTTGGCGTACGAAACGGTGGGCATACTCTTTATCTTTCTTACTTTTTTAAATGGAAATGGTAGTGCACAGAAACATCAAGTCATGATATAATAATGTTTATTTTCAGGACTACAGGATCCCTTAAAAGGGACACTGCACACCATAACCATTACGCTGCAAGCATGCATGTGTCAGAACTTAGTGGAGGAGTTTGCTACAAAGAGAGTATCAATTGAACATCCATGTCCAAGCTCCTTGCTCGGCATAGCTCTACTGCAGACATTACACTTCTAACTTAACAATAAACAAAAACTGGACAACATTCATAAGCTGAACACATCAGCTGACATGCTTTATAAAATGCAAAACATAGGAAAAATAAAATAAAAAATAGAGAATAACCCCGCACCAGAACAACATTTTTGCAATTAAATTGCTATGATGCAAGTAAAACGTTAATGAATGGTTTGACCCCAAATCTTGAAGATGACACTTGATCACTCAGTCCCCACTTCGTCAAAGTGTCCAAGTTATCAGTAAGCCTCAGGCAGAGTGTCACTGACATGCTATGAGCATTATTGATTTAACCTCTTAAAGTACAATGGCGTCTGGGATCTCTTTACATCATAACAACTTCAAGTTGATGAAGTAGTTATGGTGCCCCAAGTGTATCTTTAAAGGGCTACTCCGAACAACATTACAACAAAAATCTGCCTCAATGCAGCTGAATGGCATTTGGCTTCTGCAAAAGTCACATACCGACTGTGACAGCCATTCATAGGATCAGAGCATCAATGAATGAGAATTGCCACTGAGGCACAAAACACGTTAGCATCATCTATTCAGTACTTTTTCTCCTGTTGTGTCAATTTTCTTTTGCAGTGCAGGTAGTTACAAACAAGTTTGCGATGCCATGACAGCAACAGCAGACAATCATTATCATACATTGGTACATAGGCATGGCATGAAAATACGTTGCACTATTTTTTAAGGAAAATTTTGTAAAACAAGATAGGGTGGCATAAGCTTCCACTGAGGTGTCAAATGTTTTAATGAAAAAAAAAATGAATTTTTTATTCTCTATTTTTCTTCAATGTTGGTTTGAAGGTTTTTTTTTTCTGAACTTGTATGCATTGAAATACAGTGCAGGACCAGAACCTCCTAAATACTCTGTCATTTGTTGCGGTTTCAATACAATCTACCAAACCTTTAGTGATTTTTTTTCTACAGAAATCGACAATAAACAGCCCAGGATTTCTATTCAGAGGTGGCCAATGATTCTACTGAAAGTGGAGTTACACCTCCAGCAGCAACATTAGATAGCAATTACGCAGTGCTGCTGTACAACAGTGTCATTGCACCAGAACTACTTCAAAACAATGAAGTGGCCATGGTGCTTGGATTTACTAACAACATACATCAGACAAACAACACATTGGCATTGTACAGAGAAGTATCTGTCCGCAAATAAGGAACACGCTACACTGTATAACAATCCACATCTACATTCCGATTCAAATACTATTCATGGATGAAAAATCACTGTTCACAAGTTATATAAAAATGATCTGTACACATAATAAAATGCTACATTATAGACGAGATAAAAAGCATGTACATGGACAAAACAAAAATTGTACTGCTTATATTTGCCAAGTTTTTATAAAGAGAAAATATACTACAGTTTTCCCGCGAAAATAAGCCTTAGTTGAGATCATGGCTAGTTCGCTAATCAATGTTTGGGGAATTTTCCCCGAACATAGATTTGTGGGATTCCATGCGCTATTAGACTAATCTATATTGGGGGGAATTCCCCTGAACGCAGAACTGCTCTCTTGCACATGCAATACACCCCCTAAAATAAGCCCTAGTGCGTTTTTTGGTGCAAAAATTTATATAAGACCGGGTCTTATTTTCGGGGGAAAAACCGGTATATAAAAAATGATCAGGTACAACATATACTATATAGCAATGTTGCTAGTAGAAGTCTCACCAGTGATCAAAACCTCTATTTGGTTAAAAAGGGAGCAGCTTTGGAGGACTCGATCTGCAGGGCATTGCAAAGATAGTTATATTTTGATGCTGGAGAAGGCTATGTCCCAGTAGAAATTACATTTGTTCTTAATATCCACAGTGGGGATCTAAGCCGCTAGAGCCTTTATGACAAAGAGCTAGTAATAGCTCTTTATGATGTGAGTGTTTTTCTTATTGTTGAAATTTTCAGTTTATTTATTTGTTACAGTTACAGTATATGCACTGGTATCTTTTTCCTGATGTTTTGCCTGCTGGAGAGACTTCCACTAGCAACACTGTACACATTTTCTTGGCTCAACACTCTGTTAGTTCTTTTATGCTTGATTACAAATTTATAAGGGTACTTTGTATATTGAGTATTTGCTGCCCGCCTCTAATTTAAAGGGACACTATAGTCACCAAAACAATTACAGCTTAATGTAGTTGTTCTGGTGTCAAACCTGTCCCTGCAGATTTTTTAAATATAAAAAGGCAGTGTTTCCATTGCTGCTTAGTTAGTACGTAAATCTCCCATGTTAAATTAGTGATTAGTGTAGGAACCAAAGAATAGATTAGCACTGACCCACCGATATTTGGGTACTGTGACAGTGGTGGGCATAGCACAACATGGCCATATGGTGTAATTGAATCCCCATATTTGTTTGTAAGACAGGTGATTTTAAGTAGCCTCGTAAAACTGTATTTTTAGGTGTGTGCTCCTTTATCTGTATTTTGTATACAAAGCTGCCTAGTAACAACTCTAGATGTGCTTCCTAGTACACAGTGTGTAGTAGTGAGGTTAAGCATCTCCACACTCTGTATGGAGATGCTGAACAGTCCCCATAGAGATACATTGATTTAATGCATCTCTATAAGGAGACGCCGACTGGAACAGTGCAGTGTTTTCACGTGCATGCGCAAAAGCTTGCCAATGCTTTCCTATGGGAAATCGTTGAATTTTCTGAGATCATCAAATTTGCTGATCTCGGTCAAAGAAGCAGATTGGAGTGGGGCAGGGGCCAGCTGCGACAAGGCCGGCACGGCGCTGGAGAAAAGAAAAGTAAAATACCCTTTTAAGGGCAGGCAACGTAAACAGTGCTTTTACAACTATAGTGTCAGAAATACATGCTTGTATTCCTGACAATATAGTGTTTCTTTAAGCACTGTATCATATTTTTATGAAACATACTAAGCATTTATACCACACTGGATAATGACA